ACAGTCCTGCCAACTATGGTTATATCTAATTATATTCTTTGGGAACAGAGTACAAAACATGGAAGAAGAATGCGCCCTTTCTCTATGATATGATCCTGAGCACAGCATTAGAATGGCCAACTCTTACAACACAGTGGCTTCCAGATAAGCAAGAGTACGCCCTGAACTCCTACTGGTCCAATCATCAATTTAACCAAGCCTATCTTTAGAGTCCCGGAGAAGCCCTATTCAACCCACCGTCTCCTTATTGGCACACATACCACCGGTGATGCACAGAATTACCTTCAGATTGCCCAAGTGCAACTCCCGAACCCTAATGTGCCAAACCCGGATGACTACGATGAAGAGAAAGGAGAGATTGGAGGCTATGGTGGAGGTTCAAAGAAGGCACAGATGGAGATCAAGTTCAATATTGTGCAAAAGATCGATCACAAGGGTGAGGTCAACAAGGCCCGGTATCAGCCACAGAACCCGAATATCATTGCGACAATGTGCACAGACGGTCGGGTAATGATCTGGGATCGCTCTAAGCATCCCAGCTTGCCAACTGGCACAGTGAACCCTCAAATGGAGCTCCTCGGTCATGAAGCCGAGGGCTTCGGGCTTAGCTGGAACCCACACGTGGCCGGTCACCTTGCGACGGGCAGTGAGGACAAGACTGTTCGACTCTGGTAAGCGGGCACAACATGAAACCCGAGATTTGGTGTAACCAGCAGCTAATGAAGCTCACCACAGGGACATTACTACGTACACTAAGGGTAACAAGGCAGTCCGACCGAGCCGCACTTTCACGCACCACTCATCGATCGTCAACGACGTTCAACACCATCCTCTCCACTCCTCTCTCATCGGAACCGTCTCCGACGACATCACGCTTCAAATCCTTGATACCCGCCAAGATGATTCCACTCGTGCGGCTGCTTCAGCAGAAGGCCAGCACCGCGATGCCATCAACTCCGTTTCCTTCAACCCGGCTTCCGAGACGATTCTGGCCACGGGTTCTGCCGACAAGACTATCGGTATTTGGGATCTCCGTAATCTGAAATCGAAGCTCCACTCGCTGGAGGGCCACACCGATTCAGTGCAGTCTATCTCTTGGCATCCGTTTGAGGAGTCGGTCCTGGCAAGTTCCAGTTATGACCGCAAGATTATGTTCTGGGATCTCAGCCGGGCAGGCGAGGAGCAGACCCCTGAGGATGCCCAAGATGGGCCACCAGAGCTGTAAGTGACCATGAATTTTTATTTCTTTTTCTTCATATAATGCGTCTGAATTGTTCACTGACCTTACTCACTTAGTCTGTTTATGCACGGTGGACACACGAACCGTATCTCAGACTTCAGCTGGAACTTAAGTGACCCTTGGGTTCTCTGTTCCGCCGCGGAGGACAATCTACTGCAGGTATGGAAGGTAGCGGATGCCATTGTGGGCAAGGACCTAGAGGACGTCCCAACAGAAGAAATTGAGGCGTGATGTTATTTTTAGCCGACTTGCGGTCCAGTCATTTCCTATATGCGTGCTTCTTTGGTATAGGTGAATTAAGACCATAGTGATTAATCATTAAAAACACCATTTTATCTAAAATTTATATTGTCACGGCCCTTTTGCTGGAGGCGTAGTTGTCATATTGTCCATTGTCCCTAATATTTTCAAGGCTGTCTATAGAAGGGCATATTGCTACCCATGCTCATCAGCCGGCTAAGCCATGATAGATACAACTAAGTTACACAGTACCTATAATTATAGACTGCGGATATGATTCCTACACTATGATGGCTCTAAATATATTTCCGTGGAGAAGTGTATTCCCGCACGTTCCACTATATAGAGCTAACTAGGTATTATATGAGGTCTGTGACCAATTGAGCAAATGATATGTTTCTAGTGGCACATTCTGATATAGTCCACAAATTCGTACGTAGTACAATCATGTATAGACCTACTCCGTATGCATGTAATATCCGGCCCCGATAGTCCGTTACCTAGCTGCCCGCGGGGAGCATGTCATCACTCCGGTGAATTTTGATTGGTGCTGATTAGTGGGGGGCGATGAGGGGGACAGAAGAAAGCTAGTGTCGTTTGCTGAAAAAAAATGTGAGTCTGACTCTTATGTTCACCTTTATTATTATAATATCATCTTTGTGATTATTCTAATTTCTATCAACATCGAATTTGATTCTTGAAATAGCTCCATCATGGGTTCCGGTTCGCCTACAAGCCCAAGGGCCTCAGCCATTCCGTCCCACATGCTGAACGGTAGCTCCCCGCTGCAACGGTCAACGAGCAGCCGTGATTCTCGTGAGCGTGAGAGTCTCAATACGTCTATTCGTTCCTCTTTTGAACCCCGAGTTCCCGTTGAATTTGAATCTCCTAAGACTGAGACCAAGACCGAGACTGAGGGTGACACTGAGACTGGAGCCACCCCCACCCAGTCCGTATCCAGTGCTTCCGTGCCAATTCGCAGTGTGGCGCCAGTGCGGTATGTATACGGAGACGTCAAATTGATGGCCATGGCGCTTTACATTTCATTGCTAATCTCTGGGCTGTAGTCCTAGCTTGAATGACCCTCCCCGTGATCCCCGGGACGAGGCCGCCCCGTTGACGCCTTCGACCACTCTCAGCCGACCTGAAAGCCCCTACACATTGAACCCTCCTATCGACTTTGATGGTCTTAGCTGGCCTTGTTAGTGATACCGGCCCCTCGATGGACAGCGCTGTATTGGTATATTCCTCTAACCACTATCACCTAGGCCCCGGGACTAGACAGCGGAAGGAGTCGACAGCTGAGGAGACTGAACAACGGCTTGAGAAGATGTCGGGAGCTATCCGAACAATCTTAGAATGCATCGGCGAGGATCCGGAAAGAGAAGGACTTCGCGAGACCCCCTTGAGGTATGCAAAGGCCATGCTCTATTTCACCAAGGGCTACGAGGAGAATGTTCGGGACTTGGTCAACAATGCTGTCTTCCACGAGGACCACGATGAGTTGGTCATCGTCAAGGATATTGACATCTTCTCCATGTGCGAACACCACATGGTACCATTCACTGGAAAGGTAAGAATTGTTGTGTATATCGATACCGTGATAATAATCATTCTAACAACTTCCAGATGCATATTGGATACATACCTGACCGCCGCGTCCTTGGTTTGTCAAAACTGGCTCGCCTAGCAGAAATGTTCTCTCGCAGACTCCAGGTCCAGGAGCGTCTCACCAAGCAAGTCGCGTTGGCGATTTCAGAGGTCCTCCAGCCCCGCGGCGTCGGTGTCGTTATGGAATCTTCCCACCTTTGCATGGTTATGCGCGGCGTGCAGAAGGTTAGCAGCACCACCACTACCAGTTGTATGCTGGGATGTATGCGGTCCAGCGCCAAGACTCGCGAAGAGTTCTTGACTCTATTGAACCGGAAATAATGCCCCCACCTCGCCAACCAGCCTAAACACAGGTTGTTTATTTTTGGATTTTTTGGAGTTTTGGTGGTGACCTTTCAACAGGTTTTTGGGTGGGTCTTGCTTTTTACATGTTAAGCGTGGATTGGTGTTTCTATAGGCTTCTCTTATCTCGGTTCTTCTGCACATATCCAGGCAAATCTTTGCACTGGTGTCTTGTCATGTTCCTTTGTTCATGAAGCGCACAGCCTGCTTCTAGAGCTGACGGCTTCTTTGCGGGAAATGACACACACCCCCTTCCTCGACCCATGAAGGCCCGAGGAAGAAAATAATCCCCTCATTCCCCATCCCCTATGCCCTATCATACTAACACAACCTCTCAAGAGGCCTTTGCTGCAGTATATTGAGGTCTCACTCGATAGCACTAGCAAGGCTGTTTCAACACTTGATCTCATGCTGCTTACGAGCATCCTAGTAGGAATTCTTGGAGCTGCCCACTTAGATACGATGCATGTATTAGAACCAATGTACAATTTCTTTCCAATTTCTTTCCAATTTCTTATTTCCTCAGCTATGAATACGAAGGCAAAGCTCGGGGAGTGCTGTGTCGACCTCCAACATAGACAAGTGTTGAGTTAAACGCCTGCAGCCAATTTCTATAGAGCTATTTGGTCTGTCTTAGGGCTTTTATATGGCCACCCAAGTCTCCCAACGTTTGATTAAGGACCAGCGATGCGTGCAGGTACGGGCATGTATATAGGTAAGCCTGACCGCTGAGTGCTTTGTCGACTTGAAGCCCTGGAAGTATTGCCAGAAGCTTCAAACCGCGCCCACCAGCGAACTTGAACTTCGTCGGCGGTGAATAATATCTTCTGACACGAGTATTTGCCATTGCATGTGATGGCCTGCGCGTACACAAATGGCTTGCTTCTGTTTACATCCATCCTTCAACAAACTCTTCCCTCCTCTGTCATCTCTCCTCTACCACCTAACCCTCTATCCAACTCTTGAACTCTCTATTAATCGGAGCCCGTCTATTTTCATCTTCCTTTCTGCGATCTGTTGATTGCATCTGCTTGCGCTCTTCGCGTGTGTATCCAGGCGCGCCCACGTCGACCCTATCTCTCAATATCTCTTCCCACAACACATCAAACACTGCTACACGGCCACCGCAGAGTGGCATCGGTATTATCTGTCTCTGTAAGTTTCCTCTCCCTTTACGTGTGTTATATACTACACCAATGTGCCAGAGCCTGGGGGGATTTCGTTAACATCTTACACTGGTCTTGTTTCGATCCCCTTCGCCTTCTGAGCAGATCACGGATTTTCTTTGAAGAAAATATGATGTGATGCTCGTTCGTATTGTGTACTTTTTCCGATCCTCCTTCTGACCTACGCATGCGTATTTGGTTGCTATGAGACATGGCTCTAACCTGTTTGCAAGAAAAAAGGGTTATTGCATTCAGACCTCAAACCTGTCGAACATCCTGCGGCTGCAGGGTTCGTGCCTGTCAACACTGAGCACTGCAGGTATGTTGAAACGTATCTGATCAAATCAAGCATGAGACTAATTGACATGGAATTGAAGGAACCAATATTCCGTTTCGACACAATGGAGGACCACGCTACTTGGCGTTCAGCCATTCCTGGCTCCCCAATTCTCTCTTCTGAGGAAGACACCACTGGCTTTGACAATGAGCCCACCAGTGCCAACAATGCTACCCAATCTAGACCCTCACATTTGCACTCTCACGCAACTCTTGAAATTCTCCAGGCGCACCTGGACGCTGACGCTGACTCTGACTCTTCCGAAGCTTCTGGACCGCGGGTGCACCCCGACTTCTTCGTCCATCTTGAAAATCTACGAAGGGTCAACGAAGCCAATCGAGTAAATGCTCGCAGGGAGGCCGAAGCCCGGCATCAGGCTTCTCTGATGCTCAACCAATCCCAGTATGAAGCTTCTCACATGCTCGACGAGTCCCAACATGAAGCTTCTCGCATGCTCGCCGAGCCCCAACATGAAGCTTCTCGCATTCTCGACGAGCCCCAACATGAAGCTTCTCGGATGATTAACGAATCCAATCACGAAAGTTCGCAATTTGCCAATGAATTCAACCAACCTTCGTACCATGCCGGTGCCGAACATGGATTGCAGCCATCGGCAATGGGCGTGCGTGAGCAATATGAAACCGAAGATTCCACTCCAGCCGGACCATTTCAGCCGATGCCACATGTTCGTTTTGAGACACCTAATTCCGCGGGCCATGTTCAACCCAGGGACCATTCTCATCACCATAGGCCTCCTTCTCCCTACCCTACTGCGGGTCGGCGCCAACCTGCTTTTCCGAACCACACGGCAACCCCTTCCACGACAGCACCCCAGCCACATGGATATACAGAACACGGAAACCCTTACAGACTCCCATTTGAGCCGGCTCCGTTTCCTGAGGATGCCATCCATTATGACTCGGAACGCATCCTCCAAGCATGGCTCATCCGGCAGCAGCTTATTGCCGGCGTGCGTCCGGAAGATATTCAGCCCATGGCACAATCAGAAGGAAGACGACACCGAACCCCTCCTTACATCCTGCTGAATGACAGCGGTGCCCATATCATAAGAGTTGATCCAGCCAGGTTCGAGGGTGCCATGCTTCCTCTCCCCGCCCTTCCTTGGCTGCCGCGGCGCCCAAATCATAACTCACCCACTGCGCCTGTTTCATCGAACACACTCGATGGGTCGGGTCCACCCACTGCTCCAGATTCAGCGAATACTCTAAACTCGCCGGCTGCCCCAAATCCGCTGGCTACCACGAACTCGCCAGTCCCTTCACACCTGCCAGCTGCTGCAACCCTCCCAGCCGATCCAAACTCAGCTAATGTCCACAACTCGCCGGTCACCCCAGACCCGTCGGCTGCTCAAAATGTACCGGTTGCCCCAAGTCAGCCAGCTGCCCTAAACCCGCCGGCTGGTTCACACCTGCAAGCTGCGGCAACCCTTCTGGCTGCTCTAAGCCCGCCGGAATCTCCAACCATCCCGGCTGATCCAAGCCCAGCTAGTACCCTAAACTACCTGGTCTCCCCGAGTCCGTCAGCAGCCACAAGCTCGCCGGCTGGTTCACACCTGCAAGCTGCGGCAACCCTCCTGGCTGCTCTAACCCCGCCGGCTGCTCCTGCCTTGCCAGATAACTCCAATGTTGTTTCGGACCCAACTTTTGTGCCAGAACAAAGTCCAGAAGATCCAAATGAACACGTTGCGGAAAGTGTATACCCAGATCCGCGTATGGTGGCCTTCTTCCAACCTCTTCGGCTGCATGAACCTGCTAATTCAGTCTCAGCTTCTGTGTCGGATCTACGTCCAGAAAGACCAAGCATTTCTGAGCCTGGTTCCAACGAGAACAGCCAAACTCCCGGGGCTACCCTCCATTCGCAGTTGCAGGCCAGCATGTCCTTGGCTGTGCAAAACCGTACCGATACTGATTCTATCAGCTCCCAGGAAGTTCCTGGGGTCGAGGTGCCTCCCACCCATTTGCAAGGCCGAGATTCCTTGACTCTATCTTCTTTGTCAAATGAAGGAACTGAGACCGGTCACGTTTCTTCCACCCAGGCTCCCCATGGCAATGGGGTTTTGCATCACACAGTCACCTGGTCAGAGCCCGAGGACACCGAAGAGTCCGCCGCGTCTCGTGTCCGTCGTTTCTTCATCGATGGAGTAGATGAATCGCCGAGGTGGCGCCGCTTGTCTGGGGAGGTTAAGGCTGCCGGTGATCAATCCTCCTTGGGAGGGTTGATGTGAGACTACATCAACACCTGTATGAGTAGTTTCTGAGGGGGGAATATTGCTTACCACGTATGCATAAATTGATTTCGGGGTGAATTGGGAATCGTTGCGAGAGTGGGGAGGTTGTCAATCTTTGAAAGATAAGATGGAGTCTAGTGTAGAGTATTACTGAATAAACTTGAATGAGTACCAATTGTTTTCTGCTGCAAATCTACATATGTACTAATCTATAGCACGTAAAAACATACATATTCATTTTGTGCCTATGTACTGATAGGTTCTGGCACTGTTGTGTTAGACATGGGGTCTTGGATTCTGAGCTGCTCGCCCATGGATGTTCGTCACCTGGACAACATACCACGACAGGTCACAGCTTCCATATCAATAAGCCCGCTACAGAAGATGGTTCAAACGGTGCGATCAACACGCTGCACGTGCCCGTCTAGAGTACTTCGCTTCATGAGCTCAGACCGACAACGAAGGGAATCAGTCGTGTGACAAAGTGTGTCAAAGGCACAGCATATTAGTTGATGTAGTCTCCTGAAATATAAACTGTAAACGAAATCTGCTTCTAAGGCTATAAAGGAGGTGTTGCGAAGTGCAACAAAGCTGATTCACGTACTTTATAAAATGACATCACGTGATCCGCATGTGACCCCACGCTGAGTTCCGGCACAACTTCGACCTGCCCATGACATCAACCTACCTCTTTGCTTTGTCGGTTCCTCGCCGATTCGGTGTTGCGCATGCTCCTCTGACTATACTGTGATAATATCTTTTGTTGAAACTAACTTTCTTGTTTTTCTGGGAAATGTCCCTTTCTTTTTCGGGTGAGAATGGCCGGGTGAGCATGGGGGTTTGTGTTCCAGCCCCATCCCGCTCAATCTCGGGCTGACTTTAGCCACGGCCTTGAGTTCCCTCCAACCACATCCACATCATGAAATGGTGCTTTCTCTTAGATTACAAACTGTCAATTTGTGGTCCTGGAATTGATCTTGCTATTTAATATGGGAGGCGGGTTTGGTTGAGCGCAGGGACTAGTCTCTAGCATGTCACCGACAGGCTGCACCTTTGGGGGCTTGCACATTTTACTGGATTTCACTGGATCGGGGAGGAACCATCATTGTTTTTAGGCTCTTGTTGCCTTGACCGTCTCGTACATTGACCCCTCATTCGGTATTTTCCACCATTGTCGCCAGCCTTCTGTCGGTCAACCGACCTGGACACCTGGACATCACCAACATGAACTCGCGCCCTTGTTCGGCAGAACCATAAAGACGTGGGACTCACAAATTCGACTTGAAACGACGTCTTAATCGGGATTTCGGTCCATGTTTCATCTCTGTCCCGGTGGTATTTTGTCCCCAGATAGTCAACCATCAGTCTATCTGTTGTAAATCACGACAAAGCTTCATTTCAGCACGCACTTTTTCTCCTGGTGCATGACGACCTGAACTTCGATAAATGACCAATCTACAACTAACAGGACATCGAAAAACTGACTGGCTGGGTGTGATACAGAGCATCAAAGTTGTTTGCAACAAAGAATCACAGCGTGTCGAATCAGCCCCCGAATTGACCAACAGCTCCATGATACTGCGGAATGAATGATAAGAGACTCCAGCCATTGATTTTATGGTGTGACCTGATAATCCAACGGTGATTGTCCTGTTCACAATGGTGCCTCGGGAATGTTGGCCCATCTGGCCTTGTGCAATACGTAGATAGTTTCATTCGTGGGACAAGCCAACGCAGTCTCAATGTGGCTTTGCCAAAAACAGGCAATTGCTGTACAAAACGTCAGGGCGAGTGCAAAGGAGACGATATTCTAGCAAGCCTGGCTAGCATGTCTTGCTCCAACATCTGGGCACCACCTGATCAAATCATGATGTGCTGAGCAGACAAAGACTCGACACATTCGGTATCCAAAAAGAAACTCGGAGGAGCGAAGCAGAAGTACAGGTTGCACTTGTCTTCGATGGCTCCACGCCAACCTTCCAGCATCCCAGCGTCGAATCAAGTTGTAGAGCCGCAACGCGGATCAGTCAGCAACCCCGAGGTCGCCAACCTGGGAAAGCCCACCCTCCACGGCCAAGTAGTCTTCTTTCTTTACTTGAAAGGGTGAGACGGTGTATTTGATAAATCTGAATTGGTGCGTATGCCCCATTCAACCTTCCCCTTGCTTACGTTCCCGTTGTTCACCAGCGCTTGATAGTGTGCACAATTCGGAATCTGGAAGAACCATCGTTCCGGGTCCCCCAAACCCGAAAGACTTCCGCCTACGATCGCAGACACGCTCGGACGCCATCGCTCACTGCGCTTCTCATCATTATCTTTAGTTCAAGGCGTCTTTCAAGGACTGGCCTCGCTGAAATTTTCTACTTCCACTGATTGAACCAGATGCCGTTGGCGACGTCAACATGGCTGGGTCCCGTATGAGTCCGGCGTTGAGAGACCAGTGGAATGCCGACCCGGACCGTGATCCCCGTGACAGGGAGAGACGGAGAGGTCGAGGGTCAGGCCGCGATCGAGGGAGAAACAGAGGTCGTGACCGAGGCCGTCCATATCGGCCTAATAACCGCAATTTCGATCGTTCGGGGCGGTCGCCACCACGCGCGTCCCGCTTTGGCCCTGACTCTTCTCACGACCTAGGTGATTTCGCTCCTCCTCGATCTTCTCCTCCACCTCGAAACTTCCATAATGGCCGTCGATTAGATTCAACCCAACCTGTGTCATCAGCCGGTGACTGGAACGCCCACAGTTCCGGACCTTTCGACAGAGAAGCCCCCGGTCTTCGAAGAGACGAGTCATCAACCGGGCCTCCACAGAAACGGCAAAGAACTCGAAGCCCCTCACCGCGTGGCGGCCGTGGCCCTCTTCCTCCACCGCGTCCAAATTACTCCGATAACTGGGATATCCGGGATCGAAGCCCTCCTTCATTCAAGAAACGAGGTGGCCGCAACCAAGGTCGTGGTGCTCCGAGAAGAAGATCACCACGCCGGGGCCGGGACCGTCGTGGGAAAGACCGTCGCCGTCCGGAAATCACCCGTCCAGGAAGGTCTAGGTCACCGATTCATGAAAGAGGGTTCCAGCCTTCGCCCGATCGACGGTCCCGTACTCCTGGTGGTGACAATTACAGCGACCATGGATCTCACTATCGATCGAACTCGCGGCACTCCGTACGATCTGCAACCTCGAGATACTCTGCATCGTCTCGCAGGTCAAGACGTGATTCGGCGATGAACGCAAACCGACCGATCCAGTCTGTTGTGGACGATACTGCTCGGTCTCCATCTCCACCGCGCCCGATTCCGAGTTTTGACTCTGATAACGTCGGTCCTCCCGGAGAAAACTCTAATCACCCCCGAGATGAGTTGCCAATGCATGCAATGCCTCGCCGTCGGCCGTCTCGACCACACCTTGATAACCGGCCCTATGCAAACCCTCAAAACGCAACATCGACAGGCTCATACCACGGTTCGCCGCAACCGCCCTCACCTTACTCTGCAGGACGAGGAGGATGGTCTGGGCAGCCTCCTTATTCTGGAACTGGGTGAGCTTTCTATTACTTTCACTTTACTTGTTATATTCCGAATCATACTAATACTCTCTTTAAGCCATGCCTCTCCTTACCGACATGATGACTATTCATCGCAAAATGGATATTATCACAACCAAGGTCAATTTAACGGCCCTGGCAATCATCACCCTCAATCTCCATATGGGGGGCCTCCTCACCGAGGTGGCCACTCTGGTGGCGGTCATCGAGGAAACCTTTCAAACCAGGGTCCCGATCGGCGATTTTCTGGCACTGGCCCTCATCCATATCACAATGGACCCTCACAACGCGGCGCGAGGGGGCATTTCAACAACTTGCAATGGACTGCATCCGGATCACGAGGCCGTGGGGGACAACATAGCCCTCACCCGGCACACAGTCATGGGTCACAAACTCCCAATCGACCACAGTCACACATTGACCCGCAATCCCCCCGGGCTGACGAAAGTGATAATTATCCCCGCCTCTCGCATAGGGATGAAGAGGAGAACCAGGCACAACCTCAACCCGCTGGCGGAGATCCCCAGTCCATGCCGCCCCCAACCCATGAATACACTGAAACGACGCCGGCCAACAAGGGCGGGAAATTCAGTTTTGCTTTCAAGCCAAAGGCTGCAGCTTCTCCCGCTCCAAAGCCAGTACCTGACCTCGCCCAGAGGATGCAGGTCGACAAGCCGGCCCCCCGTGCACCCGAACCACCCCAACAACCTCGCAATCGGTTTACCAATGGGCCCTTGCCGAAATTCAAACCAGAGCCAAGGGCTGATCGCCGTGACCGGGACCGTGGACGAAATCGAGACCGGAGGGATTTCCGGGAGCCACGAGAATTCCGTGGTCCACGGGATCGCAGAGATGATCGTCGATTCGATCAACGTCGTGATCGACGACAAGGAGAATGGCCATCAGACAGGCCCTTGGACAGGCAAGATGGCCGCCGTGATCCTTCTCCAGAACCACCAAGAGAGGCACCACCACTCCAGCAAACGCGGATCCTTACTCGCCCCAAACCACGCCCCACGCTCCCCGAGGAGTTCGCTAACGCCGACTCTGTGTACTACCGAAAGCCAGGAAATGAGTCTGTGATCGGCGCTGGAACGTATGGAAAAGTGTTTAAAGGAATCCACGTCTATACCCAGCGTAAAGTTGCACTCAAGAAGATCCGAATGGAGGGCGAAAAGGATGGCTTCCCTGTCACGGCTGTCCGAGAAATCAAGCTGCTTCAGCATCTTCGAAACCATAATGTCGTTAGCCTCCTCGAGGTCATGGTTGAAAAGAACGAATGTTTCATGGTCTTTGAATACCTCTCTCACGATCTGACCGGTCTGATCAATCATCCCACTTTCTCTCTTACTCTCTCACACAAGAAGGATCTGGCGAAGCAAATGTTCGAAGGTCTCAATTACCTTCACCATCGAGGGGTTTTACATCGTGACATCAAAGCAGCCAACATATTGATCAGCAATCGTGGATTGTTAAAGTTTGCCGACTTTGGCCTGGCGCGGTTCTTCTCCAAAAGTCGTCAACTTGACTACACCAACCGAGTTATCACCATCTGGTACCGACCCCCGGAACTTCTCTTGGGTGAAACCCGATATGGCCCTGCTGTCGACGTGTGGAGCGCTGCGTGCGTTTGCATGGAGATGTTCACCAAAAAAGCTGTTTTCGCCGGTGAAGGGGGTGAATTGAGCCAGATGGACAAGATCTACCATGCTTTGGGTACTCCTACCAAGGCTGAGTGGCCGGACCTTGTGGAGACGCCCTGGTTCCACCTGATGCGGCCAACGGAACGAAGAAAGCGTGTTTTCGAGGATGTGTACCGTGATGTGCTGACAACCGGTGCGATGGATCTTATCTCCTCGATCTTCCGCTACGATCCTTCACAGCGTCCGAGCGCCGAGGATGTTCTTAAACATCCATACTTCGTATCGGAGGAACCAGCTCCTCACCCGCCGATTGAGTATGTTTCCCAGCTCCCTTGTGTATACTACCCCTGCTGACCTTTTCTACAGATTGGAGCACGTTGAAGGGGACTGGCACGAGTTTGAATCCAAGGCGCTCCGCAAGGAAGCTCGGCGCGTCGAGTACCAGAACCAGAAGGACAAGCGCAAGGCCGACGCATCGGTGCCCAGTAGCGATCGGGATTCCAAGCGAACCAAGCAAGATTCAAGTGATCGTGTCTCTGCGCAGTGATGACTCTTGATTGGCAAATTATTATATTATTTTTTTGCTGTTTTATTGCATCGGATATGGTTGGTGGAATGGTTTGCATTTACTTTTCACGAGATTCACTACCCTTGGTATTTGGGGTTCTTCCGGGCTTTTTTTTTTGTCACATATTGCCCATTGATCAAGGAAAATTTAGATCAAAGTTATTATTTGTATGGAGAAGTCAAGTATAATGGACTGATGTATATGGATGTAGCTGTTCAGCATTTTAATAGATGCATGCTACCTAGACGACATTTGAAGCTACCGCATGTTAGTCCGTTGACCACTAGAGACAATTAAAGCACGTTCAAGATATATTTCAAGACTCAGACTTTGCCTGTTGACCGCATGCTCAACCATCCCGTGAGCCCGAAGGCCAAAGTAGTAGGGCGGTTGAGACCTTGGATTACCAGAGAGCTCAAAAGAGTTTCTTCATTGCGTTGAAATAGAAATGGAAATGGAAATGGAGATGGATTGCTATTGAATAGACGTACCCTATACTACATATAAAAGAGACAAAGAAAGTATGTGTCGTCAATCAGGTCATCAACGTTTCATGGGTTGCTCGTAAGCCCTCGTGATGATGGTTTTAGATGCGATCAAATTTAATCTCGACACACACATCGGAGACGCCAGTGCTGTAAAAAGAATGAGTCGCCAGCGTTGATTTGAGTTGGTGGTCTTGATATAAAAAAAGAAGAAGAGAAAGAAAAGGAAAAAGGCGAAGAAAAAGGGAAAACTGGAAAAAAGACGGTGCGGGCTGCAGGCGAAAATGGGGCTATCGTGGTTGTGATTGGCTAGGACAGCTTCCTCCAAGCAGTCGAGTCTCCGATTCATATCGACACTTTTCCCCTTCACCTGATTCCCCCTCTATATACATTTGCTCTATTTCTCTTTTGCTTCTATTTAAACAGCCTCATTTACCACAGATCCACCATTTCCCCTCTTTCTCAACCTACTTTCTTTCCCCTAGACCCCACGCCACTTTCTTATTCCTCAAGAATTTCCCATCTGCCACTACACTACGTCACTGAGATAATAGCGCCGGCATCTCATTTCTCTCTGTGTGACGCTTCTTACGGATCCTTTTCTTTCCCCCTGATGACCGCTCGTGTCTCGGGCAGTCTTCTCACCCGCCGCGATGGATAATGCAAACCTGTGGACCCGCCGGACAAAGTTAGTCGTGTGCCCCTCCTCAACCCAGGTGATCATTGTAACTTATATGGTGGTCTTTTCTTTTTATTAGCTCGTCCAAGTTGTCCCTGTCTACGTCCGGAGATGCGAAAGACGGTGCCCGTGTCGAACTGCCCCGCCCATCCAAGCGGTTCGGACCTGACAGCTCGCATGGCCGCTCGAATCCATTTAACGCAATATCCCCATTATCCGGCGGCGTTTCCTCGCCATCCACCAATGCCTCCTCCGCTTTCGGCCTGGGGTCCGGCGCATTCGCCTCATTCGGTGCGCCGAAGACTCCCGGTGGCTCCGAGTTGAAAACACCCGGACGGGAGGTACCTTCGGAACACGATGAGGCTACCCGCAAGGCCTTTGAGAACCGCCCCGTTGCTGCTCCTGGTGAGCACCCGTTGAAGTCTACGTGGATCGTTTGGTACCGTCCTCCGACACCCAAATACTCCGACTACGAAAAGTCTACCGTGCCGCTCGCTTCGATATCTTCGGTAGAAAGCTTCTGGGCGGTGTACTCTCACCTTAAACGTCCTTCTCTTCTTCCCACAGTTTCCGACTACCACATCTTCAAGAAGGGGATTCGCCCCGTCTGGGAAGATGAGGCGAACAAGCGGGGAGGTAAGTGGATTGTACGTTTCAAGAAGGGGGTTTCCGATCGATACTGGGAGGATCTCCTCTTGGCTATGGTTGGGGACCAGTTTGCGGAGGCTGGAGATGAAGTCTGCGGCGCTGTGCTGAGTGTCCGAGGCGGAGAAGATGTTTTGAGTGTGTGGACGAGGATTGACGGGGGGCGCAACATCAAGATCAGGTATGTAAAAAGCCCTGCTCTATTTCACCGCCGTGCAATACATCTAACTTTGTTGCAGAGAAACGATCAAGCGCCTGCTTAATTTCCCGGCAGACACCAACATCATCTGGAAGAGCCACGATGACAGTATTGCACAGCGTTCTGCCATCGACCAGGCTCGCCACGACAAGACTGCCACTGGCACGGGTCATCAAGAACGGCGACGTACAGGCCAAGATGACTCGGACAAGGTCAAAGCGCCTGTGGCCCTATGAACGGATCCAAGATCCCAGCCTGGCCTTGGGCCCTGTATAGTAAACCCGAAAAAAAAACTTCAATCACGAATCATTGGGACGCGTTTGGGTCTTAGGGCGGTGGGGCATCGAGGCGAACTAAGCGGTTTGATTTGATTTATGTCTTGAGTGAACTCATCTATGCCCTGTGCTTTTCCTTTTCTTTTTGGTGTCTACCGAGCTCATGCGTGATGTTTTCTTTATGTACGCAACATGAATGCAGCACCAGCTGCTATTGATTTGCTCACCTGGGAGTATTGTCTATCCTTTGGTGGTGAATTGGTTTGTCCTACGTGTAGTAGAGCCCTTACACATAGACTTAGTCTATTCAACGCCAGGGCTCTGACAGATATTCAACGAGAACTGTAAAGGTATTAATGCATGGCCTCGGGGATATAGGTACATGCTTACCCTATATGCGAGCCAATAACCCTCGTAAGTACATAACGTAGGGTTGTTGTATCGTTCACGCTATTGGGATATTTATTGGGGTATTGAGCTATTGCTGTGAATAACGTCAATGAGGCGAAACAATCTGAACAAAGTGAACTATTCAGACAATGCGACCAACTGTCACATCTATTTATCTATTCAAAGGTATCGAACAGTGAAAGCCTTGGTAGTGCCTAAATCCTCAGGCGCCTATCAATGCTGACCGCCCTAGGCCAGATGACGATGCGGCGTACTTGCATCCCATGAATGAGGGAAAAAAAGACAATAGACAAACAATCAATTGGAATTCGATCTATGCAATGCATATTGTCATGACCTTGTGGCTGCCTTCATGCCTGTGTTTAAAAACCTAGTCGAACTCTTCTCTAATCTGTCACCACGACGACGCCAACGCCAGACCGAAGATCAACGATCTGCTGCTCAACGGGCTCGACCACCGCCCTCAACCCCTCCTCGTGCTCGACCAGCTGGATCTGGTCGCAGTCCTTTCACCCTGGTAGCTGATGAAACCCACCTGACCGAAACCACCTCTCCCCAAAACGCTGGGATAGCTCCTCTTCCAACTGTGTGTATCTTCCCATGTCTCCATGCGCGTCCCGCCAATATTTGCTTTTGGCCGTCCATATCTTGATAGCTCGAACCTACACAATTCCCGCGCCTTGGGTGCTTGTCTCTCGGCTCCGCCTGTTTTTTCTTGTTGCAAGCTATTCTCAGATATTCGACTTGGGACTAATAGCTCTCATCAGGTTGCTCACAGTTATGTCGATACTTTTTCGTCCCCAACTGGATCTACAACCGCAGACGAACAATTGCGCACACGTTCCTCTCACCCTTTTCTAAGTCCTATTACCCGGTTAGACATGTCCCGTCGGAACCCGCAGCCTTTTTCTGCCGGCAGGCAAAAGCTGATACCCCCACCCATTCGCAGGCCGGGTGATTCGTTGCAGATGTTGAACAAGGACCAGCAGAAGGATTCCCAGAATCGGCAAGATGAGGCTCGTTTGTTTGGAGCCAGATATCAGTATGTCCTACAAGTGTGTGTTGAGTTGGAGATGTTGTTGCTAACCAGCTGGTGTTTTTGCTTGGTAGTGATTCCAACGCTGTCAAGATAAAGCCCGGAGCAACCCTCAATTCTAGGAACAAGAAGCCAGGGGTAAATTCCAGCCTTTACATCCATGACTATGACATATCGTCTGATAATAATCGGGCACAGTCTAGCTTCGCGTTCTCCCCCCGGGACAAAATCTCGCAGAACCAGAATACCCGAAGCAGCGGGCCGGTCCGTTCTTACGGAGAACCAAACCGACAAAGCTCACGAAGAAAGTCGCCCCAACTTGAAGATGAGTTCGAAGAGTCCGGTCGCCCTGCCAAGATGCGGCGCCAGAGTGACACCAGCGAAACCATTGACCTTACGGCCCCAGCAAATTCAGCCACGGATCGATTGGAACAGGGACCCATGCCCTCCCTCCACCACCCAAACGCAACTCGTCGCAACCGACGTGAAGGTTTCAGGGACGCGGAGAACGGCGTGAAAGTAGCGCAAAGCTCTATTCGTCCTCGGCATGGCCAATTCTCTTCTACTGACTCCCGGGATGAAAGATTTACCGAAACAGCAGCGCACCAACGGCGAAACCAGGCGAGATCTACGAATCCCCGGCTGCCTCAGGTCAATGGCAAATCAAGCCAGACTACAGACGCCGTTGGTATTGGGAGCATTGGGGTTGGACCAAATAGAGCTGGTCGGAATCGCACTGCAGCTCCTTCGACGAACACCCATCGTCCTGTCAACGGCAGGGAAAGTCCAGATGAACTTCAAGGGGACATCACCACACGTCCAGTACCGAGAGCTTTCTCAGAAAAACAAACCCAGACCGCTCGCCTATCCAAACCTGGAATACACACAGAAACACCGTCTCGGAGACGCTCCTCGTCCGATACCCGAAGTCCAGATCTTTCGCCACCTCCACCGGTCACGAAAAAGACCAAGATCTCTCAAAAGAACTCTGAAAAGAAACAGCTGTTGTCGTATTTCCGAATCGGCACCTTCGGCAAATCTTGCGTCGCGAGGCAATTCGTCCCAATTTATCTGAACAAGGAAGGTCTTGTACTTCGTGAGGATGCACTCGGTCAGGGTAACACAATATCGATCCTTTTTCGAAACTTCCACCAGCTTATTGTCGGCGAGACGCCCAGCCGGAAAGTGAGAATCAAAATGTTGCAAGGTTCCGTCCAAGCAGGCGAGCTGCTGGACATTGAGTTTTGGACCACTGAAGCCAGGATGAAGTTCCTGGAATTGTTGGATCAACCCGAGGAGCTGCATAGTCTCAGAGACATGTAAGTTTTGTGAGGCATATTTCAGATGGGTTCGCATTTCACTAACGTTGGAGCAGGAAATGGATGGACAGAGCATTTTTGAAATATGAAAAGCAGTTCCCACAGGAGAACAAGCGGCCGAAGAAGCGGCTTCTTGATGACTTGGTGGAAGACCCTGATCCTGCGCCTTCTCCTCCCTCCCGACGTCCCAAACTTTCAAAATCCTTGAGAGATGACCATGGTGAAGTCAACAATGCTAATCCACTTGATATCAACTGCGCTGCTCAGGAAAACGGAAGACATGGAAACGACAGTGTTGATCCTAGAACGTCTGCCAAAGAGCAACGGAATTTCCGGCCTCTTGATACCGATGCTGGAATTGGTGTTCGATCTACCGTCAAACCACCGGAACGCGAGACCCGGTCTTCTACCCGCCGTGTCGCTAGCAAACCAGACGTGTCAAATGGAGGCATTACATCTGAAGCAAACTCGCACTCACTTCCCAGGGATGATTCTTTCAGGCACAACTGGAAGAAACCGTTGGTGTATCCGCGAAATGGAAAGAAGAAGGCCGAGGTCACCCTTGGCGATCGTGAACGGTTACTTAGGGATGACTTCCTGAACGATAACCTGATCGCTCTCTACATGCGTTTTCTTCAGGATCATCTCGAACGCACCAACAAAGAGGCTGCCGAGCGGATCTACTTCTTTAACACCTATTTCTTTGCGACTCTCACGAACACCCCTCGGGGTGACCGTGGGATCAACTACGGTGGTGTGGAGAAGTGGACTCGGAACGTCGATCTCTTCAGTTATGATTATATCGTTGTTCCTATCAATGAGAATGCCCATTGGTACGTCGCAATCATTTGCAACTTGCCAAGCTTGTCTCTTGGCTCTGCCGAGGCCGTAGAGCCGGTTCAAACACCGACTCTACGCAAAGGATCATCCAATGCGTCTGAGAGTGAGATCCAGGAAATTGAGGAGACCCCCGAGCCGGAAGCAAAGTCAAAGTCAGAGCCCAACGCTTCTCACAACGCCAGCCAGCCTCGTGAGATTCGAAAGGGATCTGAGATCAGGGGGCACCTTGCTTCCCTGCAGGTTGAGGGGCAGTCCGCGCGCGACGAGGAGTCACTTCCACCCCCAAATCTCTCCAAATTCGCAGCCCAAAAGCTCGCCCAAGACCAGGCCGCGGCCTCACAACCGACAAACAAATCCAAGAAGAAAAGAACTGGGTTAAAGTTGGATCCCAACCAAACAACTATCATCACATTTGACTCACTCGATATGCCTCGCTCCCCCACCATCAGAATACTACGCGAGTACGTCTGCCGCGAAGCGGAGTCTAAGCGTGGCGTGGAACTTGACCCGAACGACGTCAAGGGCATGCGAGCTCGTGACGTCCCCCTTCAGCCCAATTTCTGGGACTGCGGTCTCTATCTGCTGGCATACTTGGAGAAGTTTGTTCAAAGTCCTGATTGGTTCATCACGAAGGTGCTACAGCGGAGCATGGATTCTAACGACGACTGGCCTCCATTAGGCTCTGGTCTCCTGCGATACCGTCTTGGCAAATTTCTAGACGAGCTGTACGAGGAACAGCGGCAAGCCGATGAGCCTGTCATGGCAGCTAGACGACCCGTTTCATTCCTGCTTGGTCCGCCCCTTCTTTGTCAGGAGGAAATCGCCGATGTTGATGTGGTGCCTGAGTCTCAGCATGGCACAGATCCTTCAAAAGACTCTGCGAAGACTGCGAATTCGAAGACCGAAGACTCGAGTGAAGATTCGACCGCGGACCAGATACATCTCTTACCTACCGAAACCATCCCGGAACCAACCCCCTCGAGCCCACACAAAGGATCCCCCAACCCACCTGCAGACGCAAAGTCACGCAATAACCATGTTCGTCCACCGAAGGAGGAACCCGTCATTCAGGTACCCGGTAGCCAGGAAGAGCCCGAAGTGCCAGACACCCCGCCCCCTACAAGAAGAGAGCGAAGGAAACAAAGCCCACGAGGCCCTTCACGAAAGAGATGAGTCTGTTCATCGAAGTGATACAACCCTATTGTCTAAGATAGTCTCGACATCCGAACAGAGTACTGGCTGGACCGGGACTGACCATCGGCATAATGGATCCAAATATCTTCACTGTTGTTTTAGCGTTCTAAACCCGTGTGCGTCATGGCATGTCCAGCGTGCACATAGCCCTGCGGCGGCCTTCGATAATAGGAGGATGGTGTTTTATTCTTCTTGTCTTTACGGTCATAGCATCAGATACCATAATTCGCATCGCAACGCAAATTTAATCGTTCTCCCGGCAAAGTACCAATAATAACTACATGTACCTACCTAGACACACATGGAGCTACCATTCGCTCTCATCCGCCCCAACCCACCACGCCATCTTATCCCTCTTAAACGACTCAAAGTCCCACTCCGCATCCTCAAGCTTATCCTTCCCAGCAGTGTACACATAAGTCACTGCCGCAACCTCCTCCCCCTCACCAGCAACCTCAGCACCCGTCGCATTGAGCACTTCGCGCAGCTGGCTCTCGGCAGTATCCCCCTCCCCAGCATGACTGAGATCACCACCCTGCTTTTCCCGCAGCGTGCGCACAGTAACCCGCTTCTTCTCATACTCAGAGCCCTCGAACCTGTCCAGTCGATGAACGTCGCCGTCTGTTAGTCCCGACACGAGGGTTCCTATAACTGATGTCCCAGCGCCGGGTTTCGGTGCAGATGATTTCTCCATCTCGGTTTGTGTCTCTGGCACTGCAATGATCCCTGGGTAATCGGCGTTCTGCACGCGATGCCGTCGGTGCCCATGTAGAATGGCGGGTTGGAAGCGGAGCATGGCTTTTTGCCAGGGTTCTGGGTTGGCCCGGCCGTGGATTACTCTGTGGAGGATTTGGGGGGCCATTAAAGTTCCTGAATGACTTTTAGTTTTTGGTTTGTCTTGGTTCGAGAAGGACTTACCGTAGAAGAAGAGGACGTGGTCGCCCATTGTGTTTGGCGTGGGGTTGGCTGGGTTGCTGTGTGAGGGTTGAGTGAGGGTCTACAACAGTGAATTGTATGGGCTTGACTTGAGGAAATGCACGAAAGTGTAGTTCATCGGAAGCTTAGTCTGTCAAGAAAATCAAAGAAAAGAGTGAAGAACGAAGCCAGGAGAGTTCCAAGGTTGTCTATGCGGAGATGACAGCCCCGGTTTATAGATGCCGCTTATCGATAAGACCCATCCAAACAGGCCCAGCTGGCTTCATCTTCTCATTTCCCCCAACACACCATGCATTCCTCCTTGAACCGCATCCAGTCCGTATTCGGCTTCTTCACTACAGTCGCGCTGGTCGTCAGCGCACTGGCCGCCGTCTCGGTCCTCTTCTTCCCAGCGGACGAGGCCAATGCCTCCGTGCAGCTGAAGAACGTGCAGGTGTAAGTGAAAGCCGATTTCCATTCTCCCTGCAACCCTATACTCTACAAGATCGAAAAAGAAAGGGGGAAAAAAGAAACAACCCATTTACTAACTGCGACTCGTTGCCCGGTATAACAGCGTCAAAGGCCGGCCGCACTACTACTCAACCAAACGCGAAGAATACGCCCAGCTCCGCTTCGACCTGGACGCCGACCTGAGCCCGCTCTTCAACTGGAACACGAAACAGCTCTTCGTCTACGTCTACGCTACCTACTCCTCCTCCGATGTCCCCGGCTCGCAGGTCCGCGTCTCCGAATCTATCATCTGGGACACTATCATCCCCGCGACCCCGTCGCCGTATTCATGGGAGATCCTGAAAGACAAGGTCATTGCGCTCCTTCCCGCATCTGTTTCGTCTGATGCTGTGGCGGTTGCAAAGAGGAACGCTAAGCGTCATGCTAAGTCTAAGTCTAAGTCGACTAAGAGTAAGAAGGAGGCTCTCGCCCCCGGTGTCCTGAGGCTGCGTGGTCAGAAGGGTAAGTACCAGATCAGTGATATTACTGGTCGTCTGGCGCAGCGTCAGAATGTCACCCTTCATGTTGGGTGGAATGTTCAGCCTTGGGTTGGTGCTCTGTTCTGGGCGCCTGGTACTGGTGCGGCGCCGAGGACTGGTGGGACGATTGTTAGCAGTGAGCCTTTTGATTTCCCTGAGGAGAAGGCTGCTGCTGAGAAGAGGGCTAAGGAGGCGGGGAAGGCGCAGAAGGTGGAGAAGGTGGAGAAGGCGAGTGTATAGGCTTTAGTTGGGTCTGTTGAGACAGGGAGTTGGGTTCTACCTGTTTTGTTTGCTTTTGGGAGCTTTGGCTCACCTCCTACAGTTGCATTTGTTGCATTTTGAAAATGATACATATAAAACGCATTGTCATTGGAGAGTGTGAACCCATCTTTCTCATTTTATTTGTTGGTTCAGAGGTGTCCAGTTATACCAGACGAACAAGGATCGACGCTATAGATACAGCAGAGGGAGAAACTCGCTTAGGTTCAAAGACATGGAAAATGCCACGGTCGACAGACTCGGTCATGCATGTCGGACAAAGGTTCGGAGTCATCGAAAGAAAATCACATGGTACCGTAACTAGGGTGCGCAGGTACATGACGATGGCCTCCATTTTGGATGCGATCGGAGTAGACGCCGGGTGCGGGCCGTTGAGAGGCACGAGTCAGTGGATCGCGATCGCGACGATCGTAATAGACGTATTCCAAGTAGAAGGCATGAATGTGTCCGGGGAAGTAACTGGGAAACACCGCTCGTTAGTTTTCGAATTTGACGGAAGTCAGTGTATCTAGTATAGCACCCACCCAAGAATTGTGAGCAGGATATTGATCCAGAAGTCAACTCCGCAGCCGGCAATCATGAAGATACCAAGAGGGGGAACTGTTTGGTTTGTTAGCAGACCATTGGGGATAGGTTGATGGATTGAGGGGCGACCTGGGCATCACTATGTGGGGTGACTGGTTCCTTGGTGTAATTTTCCGGCAGAGCATGTATTTACTTACCGAATAAGGTGATGATAATCAAACAAAGCGTCGAGCAAGTGCCGGCCATGATTGCGGAGGTGTCTGATGTAGTATGTGGTGTTATTGTTCAGGTTTGGCAGACTTGAGGTTGGAAATCGTTGGCCAGAGAACTGAGGATAGGAATTGCAAAGAGGATGAAGATATAAATAGGAATGTTGTCATCTGCAGGAGAAGTTGACGCGTTTCATCTTGATCTTGGCCACGACGTCACGACTAGGACAGAAAGGGAGGTGCCCAGGTGGTAGGGCTGAGGCAGCCGCGAAGCTGATTTGCTGGAGGGGCCATGACGTCATCCCGAACTGGTACCGCCACATGCCACAGCCAAGGTGTGGCTGGTGTATGTGTACATAGACGGCAAGTACAGTTGACGGGCAGGTACGTTGGACGGACTTGGAGAAAATGTAGAGGTACTGGGAATACATTTCCTGTAATATCCCCAGTTTCAAGTCCTACACGGCATCAATCGCCGCCCGAGTTGTAACCTGCTCGTTCTTGTTGCCAAGCTTCGAGATCTGCAAAAACGCATCCACTCCGTACCCTTCCAGACTGTGCAGTTCTAAACTGCCTGCCCAATATTCAGCGTAAACTCGGCTCATGGGAAGACCCATCCCCAGACGGAGATTGGGAGGTCGTGATGTCAATGTGTCCAGGGAGCCTTCATGATATGAATCCCGGTCGGTGTGTTTAAGGTCGTGTGACACTTGCAGTTCTTGCATCGTCGCTGCCATTGCAGGGACCTGTCCAAGATTTTCCAGTCGGGTTTGCGTGCGAGGACCCTTGCTAAAGGACCACAGATACGGCAAAATCTCTCGAGGGATTCCTCCTCCTTGATCAGATATGCGCATTATCACATGCTGCGGGGTCTCGCACACTAGCACTTCGATAGGTGGTGGGGGTTCGGTTGAATGCTGATATTTCTCCATTACTGCTTGCACTGAGTTGCGGAGAAGTTCTCCGATGATATATTCCAGGTGGCTCAAGATATACGGGAAGGTCGCATCGGCATGGCCCTTGACAGTGATCTCAGGAATCTGGGTCGACCCCGATATATTCCGCATCAGATCTTGTGCGACTTTTCCACATCGTTCGATTACCTCCTTCGCTTTGCATTTTAGGAACACTTCACCCACAAAGTCCGCATTCATGTCGGTTCGGTCGTGGGAATCGGGGAAATGCCATGGCGAGTTGAAGGTTTCGGTCAGAGCTAGGTGCTGCTCTGCGATGACTCGGCGAGAGATTCGCTGCCGAGGAGATACTTGTCAGCTAGGAGGCAGACCAGAGGTCGGCCTTACATACCGCGCGCAGAAGCGTGTTCATTAACCGGTCCATTTCGTCCGCTGGAGCGAGATTACGGCATTCCAGCACTCCCATCGCCAGATTGGGAATCGCAACCAGATGCTCTCGTAACATTTCCTTCAGGATGTCACAGAAACGATCATTATCTTCAAGGGTCCGGATCTCAGGCACCACCCGAGCTCGCTCAAATGCTTTGTAGTACAGTTCGTATACAAGGGTGAGATGGGGGTTAGCAACCACCACATATGGCAGCTGCTGAATGTCTCGCAGACGATGCGCAAGGCTATCAAATGACCATAATCAGATTATTTTCCCTCCTAATTCTGCAGATTGTCTCCCAACTTACCGAGTAGGTAGCTCGGTTCGCACGTAGTTCGCGGAACTGATGAGTCGTGGTTCGGTCAAGGTACGACCAAAGAAGGTCAACTGGCGAAGACTGATAGGTCGAATAGCGCGCTCCACCCATCTGCGATGATATCCCAGTTAGTATCACCATCTCAAGCTTTGGGCACGTGAGTCATACTCATCTACTGCAGAAACTGGCCGCCATGGCGGCGGACTGTGAGCTCCAGAATAGAAGCGTTTCGAGGGAGACTGGAGGAGCCGCCAGCTTCTAGCTGGATAAGACAACCTCATTGTGCTCCATGCACTCATTCAATAAGTACCGAGACCATATAACTGCTCACTATCTTGTGCACCCGCGTAGTTGGGACTTGGAAAGTTTGGGGTTGCCGGGCGGTGAGCCAAGCATGTGACACCAAGGGCTATACTTTGACGAGATTTGTCTTTTGTCTATATCGGTATATATATCTCGATAAATGTATTGCTCTAAGGCTGGAAATGCCACTGTCATACGATTTGGATTATCCAAAGTTGCCTCGGATCTGAAGAAACTCGCACGGACTTGGGGCTACGCATCAGTTCATGGCTCGTGGATTGGATCAGCCGAGGGTCACCTGGGCATATTTGATGATTGAGAGCATCCATGGATGCAAAGAGATAAAATAGATTGGCTTGCAGAAACTAAAACACATCTATACACCTAGATAGCTATCTACATCATGAATGAATCGGATTAGTATAAAAATAGAGCTTTCTTCACCGTATACTCCGCACCTAGGTACTGCATATATTATACGCACTGCCAATTAAGCAAACTCTCTTTTAATTTCAATTCGAGAGAGAAAGAGAAGTCAGAACTCAATGAGAAAGCTATTAACCACAAGGACAAGCATAGCAAAGACAGATCTCTAAAACATCCACCAACAATATCACTGCCGAGTCCTCGAGGCTCCGCCACCGCTAGCTCCGGCCCTTATTATTTTGCGGGTTCAGACGAATTTCCTCCACCACCAGCTCTACAGTGTATTTCTTTCCAACATTCTGTCTTTTTATTCACAGGACTTTCCTAAAATACAGACTCTGACGCCTTCCGGGACGGGAAGGCGCTTTCCGCGATGGAAAACGTGAGAGATCCCCCGACCGTGCCCCTCGCTAGTGTCGTCATTGGACCTAACCCTGTTCGACCAGCTCGCGGAGAACGACATGCTTGTCGACGATTATGATCAATACCCTGCCGAAAAGACCGATGTCGTCGTCGTTTCCCGGTCGGGATCCGACGAGCCTGAGTCCGCACCGACCGCAGACGACCGTATGTTCTTTGTCGCTTCTCCTTCCCTAAACCACAAACAGGGCGGTTTGACGGCTTAGCACAGAGTGTGGCACCTGAATGAGATCGCCCTCGAGGAATACACTGCCTATTTACTTGTTTGTACTGAATGGTCGCTAATCAAGAGCCCACGATGCATATAGACGCGGCGATGATGGCAAAGGTCCTCCCCCACAACCCGGACCTCGAAACCCTAGACGAGGTCTACAACTCATGGCACTTGTCAGAATGGCGGAAGATGGATCGCAAGTCACACGGACCTATCTTCCGATGCGGTGGCTCCCCCTGGTGGGTGCCTGAAATCTCTTTGCCTGGATTGGCTCTATGGCTCTGTGCCGGCATTGAAACTGACTCGAGCATAGGCGCATCCTCTTTTTCCCCTACGGCAACCAAACCGAATACGCCTCATTTTACCTCGAACATGCGTGGGAGGATGGACCTCCGGAGAACTGGTACGCTTGTGTGCAGTTCGGGCTGGTGTTGTCAAATGTGAACGATCCTTCCATTTATACACACCACGGTAAGACATTTAAGTCTGGAGGAATTGCTCGATCAGAACGCTAAGTTGAATTCTAGTTGCGACACACCGCTTCACTGCCGAGGAAGGGGACTGGGGTTTCACTCGATTCGCCGACCTCAAAGGTCTGTTTAGCCATGCGTGGGAGGGAAAATCAGTCCCGTTGGTGCAAGATGATGAGGCAATTGTCACGGCCTATGTCCGCGTGGTGAAAGATCCCACGGGAGTCTTGTGGCACAGTTTCCAAAAGTGTGTTTTCTTCGGGAGGTTTGACCGAGTGAAAGCTAACATTCTCTTTTTTCTTTTGTAGTTATGACTCGAAGAAGGAGACTGGAATGGTGGGATTGAGAAACCAGGGAGCTACATGCTACTTGAACTCACTTTTGCAGTCGCTTTATTTCACAAATGCTTTCCGCAAGGTACGGCAGGAAAACTTTGGTTGCGCCCCTAACCATTGAGACTAATGAAAATATTTAGGCTGTGTACCAAATACCGACTCATGAGGAAGCTTCGCGTGAGAACAGCGCGTGGGCCCTCCAGAGACTATTCTACAACCTGCAGACCAACGACGTTGCTGTTTCCACAACCGAGCTCACGGCATCTTTTGGCTGGCAATCCAGTCAGATCTTTGAACAGCAAGATGTACAGGAGCTCTCACGAAAGCTCATGGAAAGATTGGAGCACAAGATGAAGGGTACTGTTGCAGAAAAAGTTCTACCTGATCTGTTCGTCGGAAAAACAAAGACATATATTTCTTGCATCAATGTCGATTACGAGTCTTCTCGTGTGGAAGACTTCTGGGATATTCAACTCAATGTTCGAGGCAACAAGAGCTTAGACGACAGCTTCAGGGATTACATTCAGGTTGAGACGCTGGAGGGGGAGAACAAGTACGAAGCTGGGCAACCATACGGTTTGCAAGACGCCAAGAAGGGCGTCATTTTCGAGAGCTTCCCTCCCGTTCTGCATCTTCACCTCAAACGTTTCGAGTACGACCTCAACCTCGACATGATGGCTAAGGTCAATGATTATCACTCATTCCCTATGGAGTTCGATGCGGCTCCTTATCTTTCTGAGAGCGCCGACAAGTCAGAGTCCTGGGTTTACCAATTGCACGGCGTTCTCGTCCACAGCGGTAACCTCGATGCTGGGCATTACTATGCCTTCCTCAAGCCCACTAAGGATGGGCACTGGTACCGCTTTGATGATGACCGAGTCAACCGAGCTACCGACAAAGAAGTCCTGGATGAGAACTACGGAGACTCCCAGCAGCGAACGAACGGCACTGGAGGACGATCTGCTATCCGCACAAACAACGCCTATATGCTGGTTTACATCCGGAAGACGAGACAGGATAGTGTATTATTACCGGTCGCAAAGGATGATGTGCCCTCTCACATTGGTATGTCCAGAGATTCCTATTCTTTGGAGATTGGAACGGTTGGCTAATTATGGAATAGAGAAGCGTATGAATGAGGACCGGGCGGAGATGTTGCGTCGGAAGAAAGAGAGAGAAGAAGCTCACCTTTACATGAATGTCGGCGTCCTTAACGAGGATTCGTTCCGAAGCCACCATGGCTTCGATCTGACTAGCAACGACCTACCCGCGGACGATCCGGCCCTTCCTACGCAATACAAGATTCTTCGGGCGAAGAAGGTCAGCGAATTTGCACAGGAAATCGCCGAAGAGCGAGGTCTCAAACCAGAAGCCATTCGCTTCTGGGCCATGGTCAACCGTCAGAACAAGACAACCCGACCCGATCAGGTGATCCGTGATCAGGAAATGACTCTTGAGGAGGCGTACAACAAATGTGGCACTAAAGGCCAGTTGTTCCGCTTGTGGGTGGAAGTGGCACCGACCGGCGAGGACGGACAACCTACCCCGTGGCCCGATAATGACTCGATTCTCATTTTCCTCAAAAACTTCGACATTACCGCCCAGACCTTGACTGGTGTTTGCTCTGTCTACGTTCAGAAGACCCAGAAGGTGAGCGAGCTGGCCCCGACAATTCTTTCCAAGATGAATTGGCCTGCCGGTACAGAGTTCATGCTCTTTGAAGAGATCAAACATACCATGATCGACGTCATGAAACCTAAGCAGACTTTCCAGCAATCTGAAATTCAGGATGGCGACATCATTACCTTCCAGCGCGCAATCAAAGAGTCCGAACTGCCACCATCAGCACTGTACACAGACGCTCGGCAATTCTACGATTATCTTTTGAACCGCATGGAAGTTCAATTCGCCCCGATCAAGACCAATGAGGGGGAGACTTTCTACTTGACTCTCAGCCGCAAGATGACCTATGACCAGTTCGCCAAGAAGGTTGGTGAGCATCTTCAGGTGGACGAGACTCATCTTCGATTCGCGCCCGTGATGGCCAGTACTGGCAAGGCCAAGCCTTTCCTGAAGCGAAACGTCAATCAGAACCTCTCGCAAATCCTTAATGGTCAATATGGTGCCTACGGGTACACCATGCACCGGGCAGACGCTTTGTACTACGAGATACTGGACATGAGTTTGAGTGACTATGAGAGTAAGAAGTGCTTTAAAGTCACATGGCTCCCTGATGGAATCACCAAAGAGGTTCGTGTTAAGCATTCCTTATCCAGAACGTTTGGGTTCGGCTAACATTCAAGTAGGAAATTGTTGAGGTCTTAGTTTCCCGTAGTGGCAACGTGGCAGATCTTCTGGCTGCGTTGCAGCAGAAGCTGGAACTGGGCGATGAGCCGATCCGGGTTGCCGAAACACACAGCGGAAAGGTCTATAAAGAGCTCCGGGAAGAACAAAACGTGGTTGCCATTAACGAGTACGCCACACTCTACGCCGAAAAGATCCCATCGGAAGAATTGAATTTGGACACCGAGGATCGCGTGATTAGCGTGTTCAGTTTCGATCGCGAACCCAACCGGACTCACGGAATCCCCTTCAAGTTCGTTGTGAAGCCTGGAGAACTTTTCGCGGAGACAAAGAAACGGCTTTCTGCTCGCACACAGATCAAGGGCAAGAACTTCGAGAAGATCAAGTTCGCCGTGGTCCCCCGGACATCTTTCTCTAACGCAAAGTATCTCGAAGATGGTGAGTGCCTTTGCTTCGATTCCATTAGAAAAGCTTCTTTGGGGCTAACTAACCCCTCTTAGGTGATATCTTGTCAGATGTAGCGGGTGCTGATGACTTCCTGGGTCTTGACCATCCCAACAAGAGCCGAAGCTTCTGGGGCAAGAGTGATGGATTCTCCATTCGTTAAACAAGTGTTAAAGTCATGGCGCTGGGGGTTACGAGTTGAAGGAGGGCTGTATGCTGCAAATCCGGTACATGAGCAGCGACACCCTGATGCGATGATCATGCCTTTCTCTTATTTTCTGCGTATTATCTTATGTAACCAGCTGAAGTAGAAGACAATCCCGTCTATAGGATGAGTGAAGATTGTTCATTTTCTCATGTGTCGCGCATCTCATCTATAAAAATAGACTCGTGAAATAGTCCGGAGTCGATACATGCGGCAGTTTGTTTGGATGCAAACTGATCAAACAGCGGAAGACACAGTTGGCCAGAACCCCATCTCCTAACGCGGATATCATCCCCCAGTTCAACGGTCCCTCTCGATATATCTCTCTCACAATGCGGTTCGCTCTTTTCGCCGGCCTGGCCTCCCTGGTCTCATCCGTCACCGCAACCGCCCTCACCTACAGACTCGACGCGAACGAGAAAGCATGCTTCTTCACAAACGTTGAGCAGAGCAACGCCAAAGTGGCCTTCTACTTCGCGGTACGTCCAATTGATTATCCAGCTATAACGCAATCATCCCGTGGGGGTTTTTCTTAGTTGCGGACCTATGGATACATGTGGTGGCGCCAAATACTGATATTGTACGATGCAGGTCCAATCCGGCGGTTCCTTCGATGTCGACTACTCCGTCAGCGCACCGGGCGGCAAGATTGTTCTAGACGGCACAAAGGAGCGACAGGGCGACTTCGTCTTCACTGCGCAAAGTGTGGGCGAGTACACCTTCTGCTTCAACAATGAGATGTCCACCTTCGCTGAGAAGATGGTCGACTTCGAGATTGCCGTACGTTCCATATCCACTTAAGGAGCCGATCGACAAATGCTAATCGGGCCATTGAACCTACAGGTCGAGAACGAACAGCGCGCCCAGCTGCCCTCCCGCCAGGGCGCTAGCCCCGAGCAAACCACCAGCCTGGAGGAGTCCATATACAAGCTGTCCGCGCAGCTCTCCACCGTCTCCCGCAACCAGAAGTACTTCCGCACACGCGAGAACCGTAACTTCAGTACTGTTCGCAGTACCGAGCGCCGGATTTTCAACTTCAGTGTGATTGAGTCTTTGATGATGGTCTCCATGGCTGCGTTGCAGGTCTTTGTTGTGCGTTTCTTCTTCCAGGGCGCCCGGAAAGGTATGTTCACTGTTCCCCGTATTTGAGGGTTGGATATGGGCACAAGTCATGGTCGTGTCCGGACTGCTTTGCTGCTGCTGTCTGTCCTATTTGGTTGATTCGTAATAACATTTGAAACAGGTTACGTGTGATGTGAGCATGAGCATGAACAATAATATGATGCATTTTACTGCCTTCTATGTCTGGCGTGTTGGCCTAGTTATTTCTGTTGCAAAACCTAGGATGTTCTTGTCTTTCTGGACTAGAATGGGAAATATACTCGGTATGGTAGTTCGCTTCGAGCCATGTTGGCTCGTTGATCGTATGGCATGCCAAAAGAATGCAATTGAGGTGAATTTTTGGGTTCTGGAGTGACTTGGGTTCAAGCTGAAGGTCTACCATGTACTACGTAGAGACTTACAACCCACCAAGGGAAGATGGATTGACACGTCGGTAAGATCAAAAGACAGAGGGGAAGCGCATGCTCGAGGCCTGATGGTATACGTTGTACATCCCAAGCTCTATGTTCCATGCCCGCAGGGACATAACCGGTTCTCGTCGAAGGAAAGTCTCCAAGTAGGAGGTCAGATAGTCTGTCGCTGAACAACATCAGTAAGTAAGCACTGAACTATACGGTAGCTGGGAAGAGGAGGGGGACCGTTGCTCCATGCTGTACGTTAGCTGCATTTTCGCAGGGGTAGGACCGGATTATGTTCGAGCGTGTCCACCGGGAGCCTAGATGGTCCGTTGCTGAGTCGAGACCGATGAAAAGTTGTGTCGACGTTGTGCTGGATCCGTTCACGCGCCTTGTCCCTCTCCCGACACATACCATGCCAGGGTACTCAATCCTCGTAGAGACGGAGCCTGTTTCTGTGCGAAGGGAAGTCTCCCGTTAGGATGTGGAATGGCTTACAACATATCTTTGCGACCAGAGTGCAGAGCATAGGGGAAAGCTCACATACTGATAAGGTTCGAACAAGTCTCATGCGTCAGTTAGACGTTGTCTTCCCCATATACGATACCCGACAAGATGCTAAGCACATTAAACACAAGTCCAGATAAACGCTAGCGTGTTGGGTCCTTGTCCAGCTAAGGGGCAATGTTGTGCATAGTACTATCGAGACCGACATCGGATCCAAAACAGGTTTTTTGGCTTCTCGCTCTAGTTCGTAATATACGACAGACGTGCAGCCGATCGGCTATCAATAATATATATGTGGAGATAGGGTTGTTGGAGATAGGGTTGTCGATGGACGCCCAGGGGCATCGGGAAGAGCCTATGACGTGAGGCAATGCAGGTAAGAATCGGCTCCGTGCAATTGAATTGCTTCCAGTGATACCATATGCTCGCTACGGTGTACAACATACATAGTACGCCTTCGTGCTCCTTTGGCCTGCAATACATCCTAGGGATCGCCGTCTGAGGCTGCGGTGTGATATCATTTGAATGCACTGGGAATTGTCAATCTCGGGTGCCTGACTCAAGTGCTATTTGAATTGATCGACATGCAGTACGGAGACAAACAACGTCCGTATTGCATTTGGTTTGGGGCACTCTGAGACTTGTCATAATAACCTTGTGGGTTCGTATGTCAGCACTTCAAACCAGGTACGACATAGAATGGGATAATGAAGAAAGTGGACCGCGAAGCCTATTCATTGACATCTAATAGACAGGGAAAGACCCGCAAGTGCACATTAAGGTAATGTCTGTGTCTCGCACACTTCTTTCTGAGACGCTGTTTATACACCATACGTACGTTGTCGTATGCTGTCATATCTGGGCTCAGACCCTTGAGGTGGAGGAGCAGTTTTATGGTTCGAACTCCATCAGACTATATTGTATAAGGCTCTAAAACACACGTTGTGCTCCACAGGTGTCTCTCTACTTACAACATCGAACAGAGTCCACTCTGATCTTTCACATTAGTATTATAGTCTCTCCACCCACTTCGTGAGAGGATGTCTCTCCAGTCTGCATATTTTTGTATGATAAGCCCGCTGTATTACTAATTTTGCTTTAAACCGCTTCCAGCTGGATTAGACTGCTTTTTCCTCGAAACCAGATCTGGTTTGGAAAGTCAAATGGCCGATCATGACTGTAAATGACAATATAGGTTGTATTCCAAACGCTCTGATGAAACATTCCTCGAGGCAAAGGTGATGCTATATGCTGGATACAAGCTCCGACTTGCACTAATATGTTCGGTTTTATGCCGATCTTGCAACAATTTGCCAACCTCCCGCTAGCATCAACTTCTGTCCAGGGTTCTTGCATGGCAAATACATACTCTGGAGTCTCCACCCCCGTTCTTCGGCGCAGACACCCCTGCGCCTGGTACCCATGTGTCGTACCGATCATTCACATCAATCTCTTTTTCTTCTAGAGACAAGTTGGCCTCCAACATGGAACTACCCAAATTTTCATATGAACAGCATCGACCTGAGTTAGATTCTATGGACAACGGGATCTCTTCATTCTAGTACAGTGCCTGGGATTCATCAGCGTTCGAACCAGACGGAATGACTACCTACAATATAGGATAGAGTTGTGCTCAACATACAATATTCAGTCGATATATAGTGTCATTTGAAGATGAGGGCTCCCTGACGTCAGGTGCCATTAGTCCTCAGGCACCAACGCCAAGATTGTTCCCCAAGGAAATCGCCAGCTCATCTCCACACGTCTCCATTTCTTCCTATTTTGTCCATTTCTAATGACACCGCAGCGAATCAAACCAACCCGACGGGTTTCTCGATTTACCCGAAAGATTCAACCGAGAATCTGTCACAAGGCCCATCTATGGACTGGTGGAATAGGGAGCTGACTCAATACATCATCCATCGAGCAGGCACAGGATGACTGCCTAAGACGGCTTGATGAATGGTATTGGATCGCATTCCAGCTTCTGATGTAAGAGCAGCTGGAACTGCCGAGCAATTTCTTGAGCTTCGTGAGTTTCCCTCTGATATGCATTATCTCTAGTAACCCCAAGAGATTTTGTACGATGTGTTCAAGCTTTGTGAAGACATTCCACTTTTGATAATCAAATCAGTTCTCGGGTAACTTTGATTTTTCCATTTCCAAGGTTGGGTTTGCCATTTCCATAACCCGGCGAATCTCGGTCAGCCCCGGCCGAAAACACAAACCTAAATTGCTCCGATGTCTAGGGGTATGACGACATACCTAAGCCTCACGCTACTACATTTTAAGCCACACGGATCCGTCCACAGGTACTCCGCACTGACTATCGGTTGAGTTTGAATGAATCCAGGGCTCAACGGCCTGTTTACCACTCTACACCTGGTCCGCACCAGTAATTTCCACATTTTCCTTCACAAGGAAATCCTAATCACGACGAATGCGAGACGGGCCTCGCCCCTCAAAAGCCCTTGATAATTCAATTATGATTCGTCCTGTAGACGTTAGGCAAAGATCTGCAGGGGACCGGACTGTAGTTGTGCCGATCTCAAAACGCCTCCAGCTCTCAATGGTCATTCACATTCCCCAGTGACCTCATCAGAGCACTGTGACCCCTCCATGAAAGTGGGAAAAGATGATGATATCGCTCTTGGAGTTCACTAGTCTGCGTGTACTCCGTATGTGGATATTAGTTAGTTCATAACGTCCTCCGATGGTGATTCGACCCACACCGTGCTGACGTACCTAATAGGTCGATGTAGTTAGTTACCTACAAATACTGAGGGCTGGGGTTTATGATGCTTCTTATGATGTCGAGGACAAAAGATCCCCCCCCCCTTTTTTCGGCCAATTATGTCACCGCACTCCGCTCGGTGTAATCGGTAGAGATCTCGTGTTTACCATGGGCAAAGGAGAAATTAGACATCTAATTGACCTATCAGAGACTGAGAAGCTGCGTTTGCCTTCTTCGACCAGCTGGGCCACCGATGTGATTCCATACTTTCTTGTGGATCCATGCGTGTCTTATAAACCTTTTGCTCGCGAATTGGGTCTCACCTTGGAAGTGTTCTTCATATCTGCCCTAACTCCTGTATCTGCCAATAGCACTTTCCCCCATTTTCGATCCTTAGCCCCGAAAAACGTACATACCGACTTCCACCGATTTAGCACCCTTATATTGCCTACTCGCGGCCCTCAGTACCATTACTACCCAACACAGCTAAACTGGTTAGATCTTGAGGAAATATTCCAACGTCACAGGTGAGCAACCTTGAATTGACTAGGACACCGGTACCACCTGGTTTCCCCACGGCACCCACAACCCAACCTTCACCTCACGGTGATCGTCCTATACATCAGCCTTATCCCCAGTGTTGTATGTTCTTATATTATACACGGTCTACACCCATCATGGTGCTGTTCGTCAGCACGCCTGGCGCTGTTTAATGCCTAGTCCTGAAACTTAAGCTGACCGTTCCAACAGACATTTCCAACCATGACTCATTCTGCTCAAATGGAACAAGCAACTGAAGACATCCACTCCATGTTCCCGGACTCCGGTGTTGTGGAAAACATGGCCGGTGAGACTCATGTCGAACCTTACCGGTCGCTGGGGGACTACAATCGCTCCATGCTGCTATACACCCAGCGCCAAATGTCTTCTTTCGTTGACACGGACGACACTCGCCGCGATAGCGGGAGCAGCGGCCAGAGTGGTCGTAGCATCGCCTCTAGGTGCAGCAGTCTGTCCCAACAGGCCAATGCATCTTCTACATCCGTCATCAGTGCCGAGCAGCCTGCCGAGACTAAGCTCGATGGCCGCGACATGGCTGAGGCTAAGTCTGCTACATATTAGAGATGTGCTCTGTACAAAGGTACGCATGTGCTTTTTGATACCTTCAACGCATAAGGAAACTAACGAAACTCTTTTCAGTTCTCCTATTCCACCAAACACCGTGATCTAGCATCATAACGATATCTATCATTAGCGAGCTGTTATCAACAGCCGCGTATACTTTCAATGCCTCCCCAGATGCAGAAATTCCTGTGGAGTTTTATGAGATTCGCGGGGACAGCGTGCTTGCTTTCAAGCGATATATTGAATGTTATTTGAGTTGGATTTCTTTGTGGCCTCGACTCATCGGGGTCAAATACGAAATGGTCCCTCCCTTTCCCTAACCGTTTTTGTGCCCACTTTTTACTTTCGCATAGCGTTCTAGGATATTGATCGGTTTTCAGCATCCAAGATGTCTTGACTTCCTACCGTGTTATCTCCTTCCCGTTCTTGTCATCTGTGTCTGCTTTGGAGTTTCTCATTGGACCGGAGAGCAGTCTACAAACGATATTCTATGTCCATTTCGAACATTTCTCGAACATTGTCCATTCTACTGGGGTCTGGGGCTGGGTAGCTGACCAAATCATTCCTTCTGCTTGATATTCCTTCTGGGAAGGAATATTGGCCTGTACATTATCTGTATTTGTACTCCTTGCCAGCGAATTTGTGCTTTTTCTTTCTTTCTTTTCTTTTCTTATGCCTTCTGGTTTTATTGATGAACTAGCTCTCCCTGCGAGTCGAGAACACTGGACTGTTCCTCGGGAGGACTATACCTGTTATGAATACCACCTAAGCATGTGGCCATTGATGAACTGTACAATTATGCGCAATCGCACCGGAGCAATCTTGTCTGTCTTCAACTTGTGTCTATTTTCTTTATTTTCTTTACTTTCTTTTTGGCCGGATAGAGACTATAAGCCTGCGAATTGCCTTTCTGGTTAGTTTTGCCTTCCTGGGTTTAGCGCTCACGCACTCACATAAACCTACCTCGCGCTCCCGACATAAAAGACCCGTCTTCGCCGCTCGTCCTCTTTCACTTTGCTATTCTTCTGCCTCTCTTGCACTCGTCGCTGTGCCCTCCTAATCTCGCCGAATTGGACACCTCGTTTGTCCCATTCGCCCCTTACCCCTGATACATCTTTCAACTATACTAGTAGTACTCCCGACCCTTCTCACATAGCAATGAGTTTTGCTCCCTGGAGTATACCTAGGATGTTATCCTGAAACTTCACCCCCGACGTACCCTTCGGTGCCAAGCAAAGAAACTGGTATCGCAACATCAAATACACTCGAGATTGCTTGTTACGATCCCTTTATTTTCAGGGGATTGCCTCTGAAGTAGTGCTTGGAGTATGTTTAGAGGTTGCCCTCGAGCGTCGACTGCAAGCTAGAAAGCTCGGCTTAGCTATTTCACATATCTGTTTGGAGTGCGAGGAGTGCGAGGAGACCAAGAAAGGTGTATACACAAAGCGTCCCTCTCACTCAAACGGGAGTGTTTGTTGGCGCAACTAGAGAAACAATATGAGGTCTGTTAGAGTAAGGAGGGTTGTATATGTGATTATGGATTCGGAGGCGCAGCTTTCCCAAGTGAAGATCGCATTCAAACTTATTCCTTAATTACGCACTCATTGGAATTTGATTTTCATGTTTGAAATTAGGTAGGACATACGGCTAGGCTCGTCAAGGGTAAGGTCTTATTGTTCCGAAGAACATCTTTGACATATATGTACGATTTGCTATTTTGTTGACGTGGTTGATAGATCACTCTCTGATGAATTGCAGCTAACTCGCTATACTTCTCCTCAAAGAACACTTCAGTCTCCGCAGGGATTTTTCACCTAGGGTTGTGCTGAAGAGCTGCGTGCCTAACGCACCCCTTGCATACCTCCTAAGGAGAGTCCGATAACACTCGCAAGGACCTTGTCCTCCCAACGAGTTGTGCCATTGGACAGGAAATGGATAAAGAGGCTATGAAATTATTGCAGTGGCTAGATTGCATCATTTTAAGTTCCAATTGACTCTGCTTTGCATTGCAGCCAAAATATATACGTATCCCATTCGACAGAGATAAACAGCAGATAATAAATACCTAGATCAAAGCCAACATACCAGAGAATGAGCACCAGAAAACCAGTAGGAGCAACTGCCGAGTGTGCACATTCCACATAGTCTAACTCAGCAGCGAATCAAGGCCATATCGTGCCTTTCTAAACAGAGGGATGAAACCCCTGGAATCCCGGTATTCGACTGCGAGCCAACCAAAACCGCCCAAGGGAGGAAGGCAGAAGAAAGCACAATGGGCCTAGTGAGGCTGGCAGGGCCACCCAGAAAACCGAGCATTGCATACATTGATGAAGGTCAACATCGTGTTCCTGTTTCTTCTCCCGACACACCCATCGACAACCTCGCGCGATAACTAACCCGGCCCACCTCCAGCCATTCATTTTGGTCTCGATTTTTGGACCAGCACACACTCTTTTAATCCACTATCCCTAACACTGTCATTCATTTCGGATATCCAAGTCTCCCACCCATCCGCTGCGCGGCAAGTCGTCCTACCAATACTATACATCGGCTCACTCTATACTTTTCATACCTATACAACACGCAGGAGGAACAAAAGACCACCAAAATGCACCTCATAACCCTCCTCACTGGTCTTGTATCCCTCCTATCCGTCACCATCGCCATCCCAGTGGCGAGCGAGAATCCAACTCCTACATCCTCCGTGTCCAAATCTCTCATCTCGCCCTCGAGCTCTGCCTCGGCCTCGGCTTCGCCTTCCCCCTCGCCCAATCCCTACGAGGCTTACACATGTCCCAAGGGCAAGTACAAGTCCTGCTGCAAGTCTGTGCAGCAGACAGGCAACGACCTCATCAAGCCGCTGGGCGAGTTGGTGCCAGTCGTCAGTGGGCTGCAGGTTAGCTCGGCTCTATCATTCCAGTGTATGTTTTCCCCGTCGTTTCTTTGGTATGATTTGGAGGTTGATAAAGTTCGATCATTATGTACTAATCCAATCTACCTTGGTAGGCAAGCACATGGCCGAAAGAGACGCCCCTGATACCTGCAACGGAAAAGGGTTTTCCCCTATGTGTTGCAATAACAAGGTTGAAGTACGTATTTTGTTTTTCGTCTTTCCTAGCTGTCTATTTTGTTCTATGTTTCCGAGGAAGAATGTAGCTGACTGTTCTTCTCTTCTAGGATAGCAGGTTCAACACGTGCAAGCCTTTTGCGGAGGCCAAGAAGAATTACTATGCCAGCCAGATGAAGGATAAACCTGAGTCGCAGGTCGATGTGATCATGGACGTTCTCACTTGATGTCAACCGCCTGGAGGACATAGAAATGTGTGACATGGGATGAGTGTGGGACGTACTTGTGAACTGGCAATTCAGGGGCGAGAAAGTGCTGGTTGATGTTTTGGTTTATTTTGCCCTTCTACTTGATATTATATGGACACCTTTCCTGTGGTAGTTTTGGTTTGTGGAGGCTAAGGTGTGTAATTGCATATGAGACACTTTCATAGGTTTTTTTCTCTACTTGTTTTCACCGCCCTGCTATACATAATTGGAAACTGTTTACTTTATTAGTTCACCAATAAGAGGTCTATTGCAGTTTATTTGGCTGTACTCCGTGCCAGCGGTTGATATTCACGGAGGTTTCTCCGTCTGACATGCACATGGCTTAGACGTTTGAAACTGCTTGCACCCAAGTGCCAATGCAAAGTAGAGTACTTACTGGAAATGCAAAGACAATTACTTGTACTCTTTCATATTGTGTTTTAAATGAACAATGAATATCCCGCAGTGGCGGGGCCGTACTCATACAAATCGCAGCCTGAGAAGGCCTGTCTTCCCATCGACTCAATTCGAGCCGATTGCATTTCAAGCATAACTCTTACATCGTTTCATGTGCACATGTTTATTACCAGCCGCGCCCGCCCTGGGGAGGAGGTCCCCATGGCCCGCCCTGCTGACCACCAGAATAAGGAGGAGGGAAGTGATATTGACCCGGGGGCATCCCGTACCCCTGTCGCTGTGCCTGGTTCTGCCCCTGCTGCATGGGGGGAGGAGGATGGTACGGAGGAGGGAAGGCTGATGATGAGGATCCGGGCCCAGGTGGGGGGAAGGGCATTGCCGGCATGTAGGGAGGAGGCGGAGGCCAAGAACCGTGGTTGGGTGCAGGTACTTGGGCATAGCCGGTGTTGGGGCCCATAGGAGGATGAGAATATTGTCCGCCGGGGGGATGATCAGTGGGGAAGGAGTTGATGGGTGCGGGGGTATGTTGAGGTTGGTGAGGGGGCGGGAAGTGCGAAGTGGACGGTTCCCGAGGTGTGTATGAGCTTTCGCGGCTTCGTGAGCGCTGTGCAGAACGGCCTCTTGATCGTGCGTCATGGCGACGGAAACCATGTCTGTATGATCGTGATCGACTTGGAGATCGTGACTCGGACTGGCTGATGGAGCTGTCGCTGTAGCGTCGGCGCTTGTTATTAGTTCGCGATCCACTACGGCTGCGAGTTCGGCCGCGCGAGTCCTCCGTCTCTGTATCTGCGGGTTGACAGAATTCAAGGGACCACCCATGGTAGTGCTCGCCATCGAGGATGTCGCCTGTGTTCTCACCCCGGATCACTGTCTGGCCCAGCGGATCGAGGTCTGGATGTCTATCGTCCCCGGCGATCTCCGGTTCGAAGAGCTTGTTCACATCACTGAGAAAGGTTTTGAGGGATTCTACCAACTTTTCGTCGGCGGGACCTGCCAGTAACTGTATTGGTTTCATGGCATCTGGTCGGATGGGAATAGTCGAGTTGGGAATAATGTGCGGATAAATGTTGCCCGCACGAACCTCGTGCCAAGGCGTTGATGGATCTCCATGTGTAGATGGCATGGCAAAGGGCACATTCTTGCCGGACTGCTTTGCTGAGTTTAGCTCGTTGGCCGCATCGTCCGAAGGCAGGGGAATCCCCATAGTCACGACTTCCCGAAGTTTGTTGACCAGCTCGGGATGAAAGTATTCGTGCTCAGACCAGATATCTAGTAGATCGTCCAGCCGTCGATGGTGCTGTGGGTTCTTTTGGCGATCACAGCTGGCTGCGTAGCCGACCAAGTTCACAAGATGCAGCTGCAGGGACCCGCTCACTGTGGAGAAGGTTGCCGGGATGTCTAGGTGATACTTGCAATGATGTAACAGATCATTGAGCAAATACAGTATGTGGAGGCGTTGGCGCTTTGGTGAAGGTTTGGACCCAGTGGGCTTCGATGGTGGAAAGGACGCAGCGAGAGCTTCAAGGTAATTGACCAGACCCCCTATCCTATTAGATGAAAACGCAACGAAGCGAAGCAACCAGGCTTTACAGGTCTGTATGTGGAAAGAGGTGTTTAGTAAGCTGGGATGTGAGAGTTAACAGAGGTGACAACGGCTCAGACCTGGATATTGGCTGGGGAGCAATGCGACAGCGCGCGCTCGAGGGAGGTGTGGAACGCGCTTATCTCATCGTGAGGAACCGAAGTAGGATCCGGGCGCAATAGGCAAGCTGCAAACGCAGCCTTAAGAATAACAACACCATGAGTCGTCATCGTCGTGGGTCTCGCGAGCTTTGGAAGGGACAAGAATCTATATGTAACCTCCGCAATTTCATGTTTCAATGTTCGTATCGAAGCTCTTATCGCCACGTGACTCTATACTATGCGTGGACTATACTATATGAGAGCACGTCTGAGGGCACTACCAGCATTAAGCGTAGGCCACAGTGTGTGCTCTCCAGATAGTTTATTACCTATTACTTATTGATCTCTCAGATTCACATCCAGATACTACTAAGAAGTGAATTCTTCGGAACTCAGTTCCCGGTCTATCCCCGGTCTATATATTCCCGCAGTCAATGCGCAGTTTAAGTCTCTTGACACTAAAAGATCCTCACACACTTTGCGACTTGAGACCCCGCGATGGCGTCAGGGCTCTTGCCGACAATCCGACACAACAAAAAAGTGATTCTATTCTTCTATTTGACAGCAAAAGTGTCGATCAGCCATAAACCATCTGATCACGGATGAGGATTCCCATTGAGGATCAGGCCATATACCATCTGCCCCGCAATGTCCGGATCACTTGCGGTTGCATGGCCTGACTGCTAATCTGCTAAGTTAATCTGTTTTATATAAAGTCTCTTCTGACTTTGAATCCATTTTCTCTTCTACTTTGTACATTGCTCTATCCTGCTTTACAGTCTACTCTCAAATCCAAATCAAATCAATCCAAAATCAAATCCAAAGCCATATCACTACTACTATGGCTTCCATCCTCGCCTCCCAAATCGTCCGTCCCTCCATCCGCCACTTCTCAGCCCACCGTCCTCGTCCCGACTCTCGTGCTGCCCGCGCTGTCGCCATGGGTTGCATTGTATCGGGTGTGGTACTCCCATTTGTCCCACCTGCTCTGGAAAGCTCACGACAACGGAGCTCAGGCATGTCTACTAGTGCCAAGTAAGTTTTGATAATCTACCACGTAGTTTTGCAGTCAATGCGAGCCGGTGTGGAGAAACTAATGATATACAGGAACCCCCCACTTTGCTTCCATGCGCGCTAGTCGCCACACTCTTGACTCGCCAATTTGACTGGGATTGTCGGTGCAGGCACTGGCAGGTCTCAGGTTGCGATGTGATGCATTATGCCCAAGGAGTTCGTAATTCGGCGTTCTGGTTCTCTCTTTTGACTAGCACTATGGGATGGTGCTATTACCATACATTATTACTATTGAGCGTTGAGATGGTTAGGCCGGTCTCTATCATCACTATGAATGGCAGAGATCGTTAGATAGCTGATTTTGCACGAATTAGTCCATTACCGAACTGATTCGCAGCTCGAGTAAGATCCCATTGAGCAACGAACCGAACGTAGTACGAAGTAGATCGAGTCCGAGGATCTCCCCGCCTACATATTATCCGCTTTGTTTCACAATCCTCTATTTTTCAGTTTGCGTACGGATATTCCATATCAAAATAGTATACAATGCGGCCAGCGTCTCAGCTAAACCGGTTCCCACTCGGAGGCCGGTACGGCTGTGACGTTTCATATTTCCCTTTCTCCAACACACGGTCGGTCTCGGTCAAGGGTTCGTGCCGAGTAGGCGCTGGATCGTGAGAAGCTTCGGCGCTTGGTGAGGCGGCATCGTCGGAGGCGTTCTGGAATCGTGCCATGCTCGCTCGTTTCGAGCTAGTGTCGTTGCCCGGGGTTGGTGTCGACGCCAATTGCGCTTGGCGCTTGTGCTCATCCTCCATTTGCTTCATTTGGGCCTTGCGCTTGACTTCGGCTTCGAATCGGGCTTGTCGGTCGGCGTTGATCGATTGCTTTGCGAAATAGTACGCTCCGCCGCCAGCTACAGGGGAGTGGTTAGTCGTTTCTTCATACGTGAACCGCTGGATTTGTCACTGGTCCTTGGCCAGCGATCAATCAATAGGTCACATACCAAGGCAAAGGGTGCCCCAGCCCATCCTGTTCAAGTAAGAGCCATATCAGTAATTATGTTCCAGTTTGTTCGTATTTCATCTTTCAGATAGAAACATCTTCGCTCACCAGGTAGATCGAATCTAGAACATGAGACAATCAGCAACATTACAAAGGGCATTGGATAGAGCAAATTACCGTATTCATGGCGGACAATCTGGTAGTGCCGATGTGCGCGAAGCAATAGAAAAAGGATGCTTCTACGTCAGTCCCGAGGTCGGCTACGCACGGACCGATGACTGTAATTGGTGCCTCAGGCCAAGGGTTATCAACCATCGCATCATCTCTGGGACCTGGGAATTAAGGACCTTTGCCTTGATCCTCTTCTCTATCATTATATATAGGGGTATAAATTGTCACTCTAAGCGATATCCTACCCCCAACGACTATTTTATTTCCCGTCCACCTACCCTTTCTTGCCATTTCGCAATAAACCGCAGATCTCTTTTCGCCGCCTGTTCATCCGGCGCAGCATCTTGGTTTCCATGCTGGCGTGAGATACTTTTAACGGGGGCGTTGCTCCGCCTCACCGATGACTCACCACTGAGGATACATCTATTTGATCAGAATTTCCACGCTGCTTTGTTTGTCTTGCTGAACAAAGCCCAAACATGCCTCCCAAACGCAAAGCGGCCGACAGTAAGTCTCTGATACATATCTCCGAACGACAGGTGACTGATTATATCCAGCTGGTCGGTCTAGCGGTGCTTCGAAGCGGGCTACGCCAGTTCCCGACATCGAAATTTCCAGCGGCGATGAATACTCGGACCAAGAAGAGTTGCCAGAGGAATCCAACTTGAAAGGTACAGTGTGGCAGTCTGCTCACCTGAAGTGAACCAGAGACTAAAACTGGAGCATAAAGCGGTCGTCAATAAGTTCTCTCTCGAAGCATTCAGCAAGAGGAACCAAGTGGAGAAGACGGACCCTAGATTTGGATACAAAGATCTTTCCTCGCTCCCGCTGAAGCGCGACCACTACAACCGGCCGTTATGGATCGAGCCTTTGAAGGGCACAATCACCCTCGAGAGTTTCTCCCCGCTGGCACCCCAGGCCCAAGATTTTCTGACGACTATTGCGGAACCGCTCTCTCGTCCGACCCATCTCCACGAATATCGTTTGACCGGACACAGTTTATATGCTGCGGTCTCGGTCGGTCTCAAACCGCAGGATATTGTTGAGTTCTTGGACCGTTTGTCGAAAACACCGCTGCCCGAAAGCATTCGGACGTTCATCATCGAGTTCACCAAGTCCTACGGAAAAATCAAGATGGTGTTGAGGCATAATCGATACTACGTGGAAACGACAGATCCTGAAATGCTCCAGCGGTTGTTAAAAGATGAAGTGATTGGCCCCCAGAGAATGGATAATACCGAAGGAATTATCGAACGGGCTGCTCCGAAAATGGGCGGTCTTGTCATTCCTGGGACGAAAGATGCAGCTGGTGTACGGGAGACCACTCAACAGGAGGCCGCCGCCGCCGCGGATAGACATGAGACCGAAGAAGGAGGGGCCGTGAACTATGGCATTGACGACATTGGCGAGGATGAGACCGAAGAAGCAATCACGTACAGTTTCGAAATCCCTGCTGCTGGTGTCGAAGTGGTCAAGGCCCGTTGCCAATCGATCGGATGTCCTGCCCTGGAAGAGTACGACTTCCAAGGAGACACAGTCAATCCAAATCTAGACATGGATTTGAAACCCGCGGCGCGGATTCGGTCCTACCAGGAGAAGAGCTTAAGTAAAATGTTCGGTAACGGACGAGCCAAGAGTGGTATCATTGTGCTTCCTTGTGGTGCTGGTAAGACCCTTGTGGGTATCACTGCCGCGGCGACCATCAAGAAAGGCACTATCGTCCTCTGCACCAGTTCCATGTCTGTGGTTCAGTGGCGGAACGAGTTCTTGCGGTGGACAACCATCGACCCGGGTGATATCGCCATCTTCACGTCGGACCACAAAGAAAAATTCAAGCGGTCAACTGGTATTATTGTCTCCACATACTCAATGGTGTCACAGACCCGTGCCCGGTCCTATGATGCCCAGAAGATGATGGACTGGCTTCAATCGAGAGAATGGGGTATGATGATTCTTGACGAGGTGCACGTCGTGCCGGCATCGATGTTCCGAAAGGTCACATCTGCAATCGCCGCACAGAGCAAGCTTGGTCTCACTGCAACATTGCTACGTGAGGACGACAAGATCAAAGATTTGAACTTCTTGATCGGACCGAAGCTCTACGAAGCGAACTGGATGGAACTGGCTGCACAGGGCCACATCGCCAAGGTCCAATGTGCCGAGGTGTGGTGCCCGATGACGACCGAGTTCTATTCTGAGTATCTACGGGAAAGCTCCAGGAAACAAGCTCTACTATACATCATGAACCCTCGCAAGTTCCAAGCGTGTCAGTTCCTGATCGATTTCCACGAGAAGCGCGGTGATAAGATCATCGTGTTCTCTGACAATGTCTACGCTCTCGAGCGATATGCGCTCAAACTGAACAAGGCTTATATCTACGGCGGTACTCCTCAAAATGAGCGCATGCGTATTCTGGAAAATTTCCAACACAACGAGCAGGTTAACACTATCTTCCTGTCCAAGATTGGTGACACCTCGCTTGATCTGCCCGAGGCCACCTGTCTGATCCAGATCTCGTCTCACTACGGTTCCCGTCGTCAGGAGGCTCAGCGTCTGGGAAGAATTCTGAGAGCCAAACGCCGAAATGACGAGGGCTTCAATGCTTTCTTCTACTCGCTCGTGTCCAAGGACACTAATGAGATGGTCTACTCGGCCAAACGCCAGGCATTCCTGATCGACCAGGGTTATGCTTTCAAGGTCATCACTCATCTCCAAGGCATAGACAATTATGAAGGACTCTCGTACGCGACACCAGCGGAACGCCGCGAGCTTCTGCAAGAAGTCATGCTGCAAAATGAGTCATCCGCCGACGTCGAACAGGTTAATGATGATCTATTCTCAATGCGCTCCGGCAAGCGAGTGACAGCCAAGAAAGCCGGTGCTAAACGCAGTGCTGCCACTCTTAGTGGTCTGGCTGGTGGTGATGATATGGCCTATATCGAGTACAACAAGAGCAGGAACAAGCAGCTCAAGGATAAGGCTGGGCACCACCCGCTGTTCAAGAAGATGGAACGAGACCGACAACGCCGCAAGAAGGAGAGGGAGATGGAGGGCTGAAAGCTGGAATGCGTTGCTGTTTTTGCTTTCCTGTTTTGGGCGCGTAGTCTTTGACCTTTCTTGCATGCACCCCAGAATGACAGATACCCCGAATAACCACATGAGTTAAAAATACAAACAGTTAAAAATAAAAGACGATTTGTACTATAGAGCAACCTAGACCAAGACTCTCGTAATCATCAAATAGCTAAGTCAGCAAGACCGGTCTGGGAAACACGAGCTGACTCCCATGACGTTGGTCGTGGCAATGGAAAGCCGAAAGCCCGAATTCTCCGCTTTTCGGATTTGGAGCTCCATTATTATCTCCATTCGAGTAATTGTGCGACTCTGATAGGTTCCATTGGTGAATTGGATTTCCTGGAGAACTGTCTAGCTATCCCTGACAGTTGTACCGCTCCAATAGTCACACACCGGATGGCTTGGGCTATATAAAGGACATGCTTCCCCGCGTTCTTCAATGTTACAGACATCATTTGTTCAAATCGAAACCTACAGCTACAGATAAGTCCCGGCTTCTCTTACTGAGTAGTACTCGCTGCTATTCCAGTCTACGTTCACTGTTTCAAACAGCACTCTCTTCTGCTTCGACATATTCACCTGCTCTACCTCTTCCGCGACTAGCCGCGCGGTACAGCTCGTATACTCCCAGCACCGGGAATATTTCCCGCATTCTCCCATCCAGAATGGCCGCTACTAATATCCATCTGTCCCCGGTGACAGATTCGGGCATCTACAGCTCAAATGTGAGGGAGGATACTGCGCGTACAGCGAGCGAGGTCTTGCAGGAAGACATGGCCACGCACCATGTCTTCTTCAATGACCAACATTTCCATAGTATGTGCTTTTCAGGCTAAATCCCCACCAAGAACTATATCTAATGCACAGACAGATCACATACCGCATCAGATCCTTAGTCTCTATGCTCTTGGCGCAGCACCAGAGGATATCAAGGCTTGCTATGAACGGAGTAAGAGATATCAAAGACCCGTCCTTCCAGCCAGCCAAGATGTCATCCGATCTATGCATGATGTCGCTAAATTCCAAGAGTGCCTTGGGAAGGAACAAAATTACCCTAATTACCTCGCTTTCTTCCAGCATGAGATCGATGCAAAGGGCGTTGGTGGGGTTCTGGGGGAGTATCTATTCGCCGGAGATGAGCGAGCTGAGAGTATGATGTGTCGGTTATTTGCCGGTAAGTATCTCCTCCATTTATACTGGGTTATATTGATATTCTACGTTCCTCGTGGCTAATCCATTCAGGCCTCGTTCACCCGCTCATCCATCTCGGTTTCGGCATAGAGTTCAACCAGCCTGCCATTGTAGCTCAAGGCCTTGCTCAGACAGCAGTGCACGATGACTGGCTGGGTCGTGCGTTCTTCCTGCCTGCGGAGAAGATGGCAGGCGGTATCGGAAAGCCGGGACAGAAGTCGCTGCTCCAGCTCATAAATGAGATGCGGGCAGACAAGGCTCTTGTTCAGAGTGTTCAGTGGTCTGACACTAATAAGATTAAGGATGGAGTGCTCCATAGAGCACCGGAGCAGATGCTGAAGTATGCTTCTCAATTTACCGTGTCAGAGGATCAGGTGGAGGAGCGGTTGGCGGATATGATCAATACAGTCGGTAAGTCTAGCCTTGGATGTACTTAACGGTGCTGTTTTGAGTGTTGTGAGCGAGGAGCTATTGCTGAACTTATCTCAGTCTACTATACCAGTGCCGCCCAGCGTCCGACTAGGGAGATGAAGCTTGATTTCTTCTTGATCCATTGTGTCAATTCGTCTATCTTCTTTTCTAAGATTATCAATCTCCCATCCTTGAACCAACGATCCAAGCTGCGCATGCTGGAGTGGAAGGGACGCATCGATCTCCTGATGTATACTTCACGTGGAACGCCGGACCTTCTGCTGGATGAGGTGGCCAATTATCCCCTGAAGGAGGACTGGTCACAGATATTCGCGCGCAGCATCGCCCATCCCGGTGATGATGGACATCTAGCCAAGCTAGCACGCGCTTTGGCGCATGGCCAGAAAATCTGCCAGGCATATGAGAGCAAAATTCCTGAGATGCCGATCAAAGGAGACATGTGGCTTAGGATTGGGAATATAGGTAAGCAGCAGGACCTGACGTTACACATTCACCTTACTAACTGCTCGATAGCTGTTGACTCTACTGTCGATGAGGGAGATAGACCAATGTGGATCCGTTCTACTGGATTCGATGAAGCGTGGGAACAGGCGCATATCTGAGACGGGCAACATATCTTCATAAGGATACCTATTTCATTCTTCTTTCAACTATGCCTCAGAATGGTGTCATTGACAAATTGATATAAAAACATCCGTGCTACTATGAATCAAATCGTCTGCAAGTACCCATGGGTCTATATACAATTTAAACCATAAGCCCCCATCAACAGGAATAGTCGCTATTTGATTGTGGAAAGAACGACCCCTATAATCCATCGACGCCTCCATCCTCCAACATCAATACCTCAACACTTCTCCACGTTTCGACACTCCTTCACGCGTCTATACGCGTCTCGACGCAGCAAATACGCTTTATAATTACCAAAAGGCGCCTAACTCTAACCTTTACTTACTTATCGCTTTCTTCAGGTCTCTTAGGACGACAATAAAACCTGAGCATTCAGCTCGAAGACATGCTTAAGACATTTTCGAACACTCCGAGTCATCCTTCATGGTGTTTCTCGGAGGACACTTTATTTACGCTTCCCTCAACCCTGACCTCTACTCCGCCCCTACGAAGTCTCCTAGGCCACAAGAGCGCCAGAATTAGCTGTCAAAGACAGGCTCGGAAAGCCTCGTACACTCCGAGTCATTCAATGGTCCTCATGTCTTCCCCATGAGGGACGCCCATTCACTGTCCTTGACATTGCTCGCAATGAAATCTTACCAACGAATGAAGTATTGGCGGAGATTACTATGTATGTTGTTGCTGCCCCTGGAGGTACGTCTTTCAGAATTTGAAACAAGAAACAACCTGCTAACTCGGAAAAGATCTTGATCTCTTTTACGGAATGAACTAAATTGCGTTGAATTGAGAAAGCCGAAAATGACAAGTGAGGACTATCCCTGGCCGCAACGGGATCGACGGTGTTAGTGCGTTCCCTCTCAATACAGCATGGAAAGCCGATGAGATCGGTCTTTTTGCCCCCGACGCATCACAGGACCGTCATATCCGCACAGTGCGTGGCACCACATCCTGCTCCGAGGTGTATGTCTTCCTCAGCCAATTACGCAGCCAAATCCCGTTACGCGGCGAAGCCGTTGTCCGTGCAAATATCCAGACATGTCTTAGAGGAGAAGCATACGAATGGTACAACTCAGAGTGCCGGAGACTTGGCCTGACGAGAACCTACTCTCACTGGGAAGCACCCGTTCTCTTAGACACGGCTAATGGGACAGTCCGCCGACAGTCTCTCACCGTTGAAGTGCAGGCTCTGGTGAATGGAAACCCTTGGGGACCTATTGTGGAAACCCGCGCTAGCATTCTCCTGATAATAGTCGTGATGAACCGCATTGTAATATCAAACTGATATAAAAAATTATCCCCATACTTTGAGAGGTTGAACTATGGTTCTCGGCTTTAGCTGCAGTGGGGCTGTAAGGTTGGAATGACGCCAGCGGCTCAACACAATTAATTGCATTCGAATAGTATACATATGTAGTATGCTTGTAGAGCAGTTTCCAAGGTGAATTAAACTAGAATGGAAGAAGAATAGAGAGTATCATATATTGTACAGTCATACAGAGGAATAAGGAAACCCAGGAAAACAGAACATTGGAAAAACAAGAAAATACATTGGGGATCGATCACGTGGTGTCGAGTGGGGCTCCCCAACATGTATTCGCCTCTGCATCTTTTCTTCACCTTTCCTTCCATCAGCCTACCAAGGTACATATGTAGTATCTATTGTTATTCTCTGATCTTACCATAATGGGCAACGACGACATCAACCGCAAAGACGTTTCCACTCGGAAGGACTGGGCTGATGATGAGAGCAACCCGTTCGTCGCCTTCCGGCGCTACGCCGATGAGCAGGTCTCCACCATGCTTCAATCTATCACGGGCCTCCCTTCGATGGTGACACAGCCTCACAACGGCCACTGGGATATATTTGCAGATTATAACGGCTACCAGAATCGGATGGCTCGTCAAAGAACCAGTGAGAATACGGACAGCAGCAGCTATCCAACAGACCGAGACAGTGGAAGTGGTTATCCAGGCAACAGAGATGGAGATGATCCACGCAACTATGGAAATCATTCACGGCCACGCTGGCCTGAGAACGATGATTCGTGGAGAAAGTGGTGTAATGGACCATCCGACTTCTTTGGCCTCGATTCCTTCTTCGACCGGTTCTTTGAGGATCGCTTCTTCCCTTTCACATCGCAACTCTTACATTCTGGCCATAACCTTCTCTTCCGGGATATGTTTGAGGACACTGACTCGCCAACCTGGCCGATCGGATATATCCTTTTCAGCCCATACTCCCCTCTCAATCTAGACCGCCAAGCACAATACCAAGCGCACCGCGAAAAGGGTGTTTTCTCATCTATCATGTCCTCTTTACATCTCAACTACGACCGTGACCCTTCCGAACCCCAGTGGCGAGAAGCCTTCGAGGATTTACTTCGACTCGAGAACGATAAGCCGATGCTCGATCGCAATGACTCCGTCACGAGATCCGATTCCGGAAAGGATTGGCTACAAGGACTTGTTAAAAGAGGCAGTTTGGGAGATAAGTGGAAGTATGTGCCTGGTAGAGATGGTCGCCCTTGGTCAGGCATTACGTTCTCTGGTCGTGTAGGTCCAGAACAGGACCGGTCTCGGTCTCTACCCGAGAAAGAGAAAGAATCTGCAGATATGGAGGCTGACAGCGAGCTCGACCTGTATGAGCGCTTCTTGCATGATATCGAGAATCGCGAACGTGAGTTCTTCCGCGGTGCCTCCGAAAGCCCTCTTCTGCGTCTCCTCCTTGAGGACCGACGGCAGCAACAGGAAGAACTTGAGAAATACAGACGTGGCTTTCCAAATGTGAAAGATGAGCAGAGCAGTGACGATAATGAGAATTGGATCGGTCTTGTGTCTGGTGGAAATAGAAAATCTGTTCCCGAAACACCGGAAGATTTGCCGACCGAGATTGAGATCAGGCCAACTGAAGCTGTCTTGGAATCAGCGCAGCCTCGTGTCATCTCCACCATAACTCGGACAGAACGCGTGCGGCTTGCGGATGGCTCGATTCAGAGCAAGATCGTCAATACGAGGCGTTTTGCAGATGGCCGAGAGGAAAGTGACGAATCTGTTGAAGTGTCTCATCCCCAAGATGGTTCCAAACCCGAGTTGTCTCGGCCCCAGGATAGTTCCAAACCTGAGTCCAATTCATCGAAGAAGACCGGGTGGTTCTGGAAAGACTAGGACTCTGTTTGGACAATATCTATAATGAACGACGATCTCCCCTGGCTATGGCCTCTAAAATGACCTCCTTTTATATCTGACTCTTCAGCGCGGCGCGTTTTCTCAATTTATGATTTGCATGTTCCACAGGTTTCCGGATGGCGCCCCTTTACCTAGGTATCTCTTTGCAATTTGCTTCCCAACCTGGTTTCGAGCCACCCGGCTCTGTGTACATTCAAATTGCCCTTCCCCCCTTATCCCGCATGGAAAGTTAATCCCAGCTAGTTTGATATCTCATAGGAAATAATTCAAGAAATAATTCAAGCGTCTACATATTACCCTATCTTAATTACCATCGAGACTTCAATATCAAGCAAGACCTAAGCCAGGTACACAAAACATCTTGAAAATTTTAAAACCACACAATCTACGTCTAATCAGCCTTGACACTCTTCTTCCCTCCCTTGCCAGTAGTCCACCCCTTAGATTCCCAGTACTTGACGTTATCTTCCATCTTCTTGTACGCCCAAGTAAACGGCGGGTCTACACAAGCAAAGTTAGCACCAACCCACAAACCCGAGAACCACAATACATACAAAGGAACTGCCTCAGATCATGACGATTGTCCTCGGGGGAGTACTGCTCCGCATGGTAGCTAGGCGTGAGAACAGTCATCTTATGTCTGTTGATAGAGTAGTAGTAGAAGAAATGGCGGGTCTTCTCGTAGATCTCGCGCGGGCTGTACTCGTTGCCCCACATGTGGAGCAGCTTCTCGTACATAGAGTACGGGCCTAGCTTGGCGACCTTCCTCAAGTACCCGAAAACACCCAGCTGCGCGTACGTAACGCCCATGTCGGCTTCGTCGGATTGCACGTAGTCGTGCGTGATGGGTTCAAGCTCGGCTGTGGGTGTTGCGTGAATGAATTCTTCGAGGATCGGGAGGTCGAAGCTGTGTCCGGACCAGGAAATGAATTTCTTAAGGTCGACTTTGCTCACCGAGCCGATGGGGTTGAGCTGGTTGTTTTGGTTAGTCGTGGACAGATGGGGTGCTTGGACTTGCGGGAATTGATGCTTACGTCGGCGGAGCTGGCATCGTACTTAGTGAGATAGCCTCGTAAACTAGATGGGTTGAGTCAGTCACAGGAAGGAAATTAGTGTTTTATGTGGCGTACCATTCTGTGACAACGGTTAGTGAAGATGCTCAACAAGGTACGATGTTCGTGTTTGAGAGACTTGCCATCAACGTTAGATGATGCGAGAACGAGCAAGCCGCCACCACCAGGGCGTTGACGCACAGCCGGCAATAACGAGGCAAACAGATATGAGAGAACCATTCTGAGCCGAGCCTGCACATTCTGAAGTGCGGCATTCTCCGCGGAAGATCCACCGTGCACTTTGAAACGAGGCTGGAAGTTAGTGATAACGGTGAAGAGGTTCATGATAGAAGTGACCACAGTATCGAAATTGAAGTCAATGTGGTAAGATCCAATATCCGCGGCCAGCCGAGCCGCTCTGTCTCGTGTCTCCTTGCCTGAGTTTTGTGTGCCCATGTAGCTGGTATGGAAGATACATCTACAGAAATTGGTCAATGTTGCCCAAGACAATGATGAGACGACAAAAGATTTAGCCCGACAGAAGCTCAATACTTGGAAGACTTACTTGCAGATTTCCTGGGTGGTGGTAGGGAGCCACTCCGAATCTGCTGGCTTCGCACATAACCGGCGAACATCCTTGATGACCTGCTCATTCCCTTCTCGCACTGCCTTGAGCACTTCGCGACACATGGAGTGCACAATGGTTGCTGTGGCACAGCTGTCAATACCACCGCTCAGAGGAAGAAAGAAACCGGCGGCTCCACATCTCCGAAGGTAATCCCATAGCCAGCAGGCAGGGCCCAGAGCGATCTCCTCCTCGGGAGCATGGTACCGCGGCTTGATAGGCTGAGATGTCGCGAGGCTAGGCTCGGCATCTTCATCCCGGCGAGAGAGTCTGATATCAATATCAAGGCGGACATAGGGCGATTGCTTGCTCGCTTGCAGCCCACGGCTTGCGTTGCATCGATAGGTGCGGACTTCTTCGATGTCGACCGTTGCAGTGACGACTTCCACATCGTTCAGAGAGAACTGTGAACCTTGGGCTACGATTTCACCGTTGATGACGATCATAGCGCATCCGTCGTAGTACAGACGATCACCATCGCAGCCTTGCTGATTGGCATAAAGATATATTCCACCGCTCTATAAGCTGTAAGAAAAGTGCTATCCTATGGTAGCGTTGGTTTTCCACTCACCAGCTTGGTAGCCTGGGTGATCAAATTGACCCGAGTGTCAAGCTTCTTCAGTTCGTGGTGGCTGCCCGAAGAGTTGGAGATGATCTCAACACCTGATTTGAATTAGACAATGAGAACAGCCATCTAGACATCAAGACTTACCAGCTAGGCCATATGGAACATGAGGCCTAAAATGGATTGTTAGCAGCCAAAGCCACATAGCGAGTTGAACACCTACCCATTAGGGGTAAACAGCTCCTCACACGTCTCAAGACCCAGGCATGTGTCTCTCGTGCTAATAACGGCATCACCAAATGGAACTTTGTACTGGCCAGTAATCTTTCCAACAATTGACTCCAGATAGTAGTCTTCCACCTCCTGTGGACGCTGCCATGGCGTAAAGTGTCGGTGCTCACGGTAGTTGCCATCTAGAATACAAATAGATATTAGGAACTACTTTCCGAAGTATAGAGAGCAAGTGAACGGACCATTGGCAAGCCACATCTTCGGCCTAATCAGGACAATCTTCCGGTTGTAGAAAATGACACTTAAGAGGATATATCAGCTGATGCGACACTTATTGCGTCGGAAACACTTACCGACAGTTGTAGCGCACATTGCGATGGCGAACCGGCAATCCCACGTCAACCACAATATCCTGGCAATCGGGATGGTCGATGATGCGGGCAAGCATTTCCCACGAGTGCAAGAAGGTGTCACCCTCAAGGAAACCATCCAGGACTCCATAGCCGGTAATCTCGAGCTCCGGCCCAACGCGCAAAGTGGCACCAGCAGCCTTAGCTTGCCTAATGCTTTCAATGATACGCTCCGCGTTGCCCTCAAAGTCGAGAGCCCACTGGTTCAGCGAGCTGGACAGAGTTAGCGCGGGGTTTTCTAGTATTCGAATAGCAAATGTGTCAGCCTTACCATGTTGCCAGAGTGACCAGGTGCCCCATAATGTCTAATATGACTGAGACGTCTGTATGTTGTGCTTCGCACACAGGCTCGTCGGCGATAAGAGCCAAAAGAACGCGGTCACGTGTGTGGGGACTCAGGTTCCCCGCTTCACTGGTAATAGTATGACTGTAAATTACTGTAATATGTTCTTTCCTCGACATTGTCGGCACAACTCCGACCAAGAACGTGTACTGCGTTTGTATAAATGTCCCGAGGTCAGTCGCTGATTAATGCGATTCCCCGGGGCCACCTTCCGGTGCTGTCTGTCCCGGATTTCATGTTAATACTTTGGATATAGACTGATTTTAGAGTCAGATTCTTCTTGTTGATATATTTACCATATTAGGTATTTATTGTTGGCAAACTAGCTCCTGCAGAATGAGCACGACCTCTCAGACCCCCACCCCGGCTCATATGCTCGCGGATTCCATGTTGTCCCGACACTTCGGCAAAGAGACGGTCAATTACTTCTCCAGTAAGGATGTGTTGGACTCGTATATATGAGGCGCAGTAGAGCTGAAGCATTCGCAGGCTCTCCAATCAACCGTTTATCGTTCTTGCGCTCCGACCACCCGTTCCTGTCTACGGCTCTGAAGCACCCTTCGGCCCGGTTTCTACTGTTGAACAACCTAGCGCCATTGACTCCGTCGCCGGCGCAGCTACACTATGCCAAGTATGACGAGGTGTGCAAGCTCATGCCGCAGGATATCTTCGATATATCTGAAGAAGACATGATCAAGAACTATGATTCACGCAAGACACCCGCGACCCTTATATTCCTCGGGCTGGACGAGAATTGCAAAGAAGGAGGGCTGACGTGGAAGATATACTCTGGCATACCCTATTTTGCAGTAGACGTAACCCCCAACGGCTCTGGAGTGCAGCAGGCTGCAGCAAAGGATGTGATCGGTGCCATGGAGGCGAAGGGACTGTCTTTCTTCCAAACACGAGTTGTCATGTCCTTTTCCGCAGATGAAGGTATGAAGACGCGATAATAATGTATACATCGATAAGAGGGAACTAATCAATTCGGGGTAGCTGCCATCTACGCACAGGCACGTGCGCTGATGGACTGGAACACTCGCAACACCTTCTGTGGCACATGCGGCCACCGTACTTTGGCTGTGAATGCAGGAACCAAGCGTGCCTGCCCGCCGACGGATATTGCACGAAAAACGGAGGGCAAGGCGGAAGAGCGGCCAGCGTGCAGTACCCGTACTACGCTGTCAAACCTTTCGTTCCCCCGTACCGATCCGACTATCATCGTGGCGGTGGTCTCTGCCGACGGCAAGCGGATCCTGCTAGGCCGCTCCAAGCGCTTCCCGCCAGGGTGGTATTCCACCTTGGCTGGGTTCATCGAGCCAGCCGAGTCGATTGAAGATGCTGTGCGGAGAGAGGTGTGGGAGGAGTCGGGCGTCACTTTGTCCCGCGTTGTTCTCCACTCCTCACAGCCTTGGCCGTATCCGGCCAATTTGATGATCGGTGCTATTGCCCAGGTCAGTGATCCCGCTTACGAGACGATCTCTTTGCAACATGACCCTGAGTTGGAGGATGCACGGTGGTTTGAGGTGGAGGAGGTGGAAGAGGCGCTGCGCATTGGCACCAGTGACTTGAGCTCTGAGGCTGGTCCGGAATACAAGGGCGGTTTGCGATTGCCCCCTCCTACAGCCATTGCCAATCAGTTGATCCAGGCTGCTGTGAGCGCAGACTATTTTGCGGCAGATAAGCAGTCCAAGATATAAAATCATGCTTCTGATGATACCTGTGCCAAGCACATCATCACATATCATTGATAGATTTAGACATTCACTATCTCTCAACACCGGTAGAATATATATGAAACCCCTATTTCCTAAAATAACAGCTAGGTATGATACTTGACAGCCTTATTACAAAATATACCCTAATTCCAACTAAAATGTTGCATCGATGATCTCCCCACACCTTCCAGGCCTTGGAAATCACCATCACGTTGCATCTGGGAAAGACCGTTTAGCATGAGCCGTAGTAAAACTAGTATGTTTCGTCGTGGTCTCTGGACGATCTATGCTAAACTGGGCTTAATTGTAATTGTCTCCTTGACAATTTAATTTAATAATTATTTAATATGCAAATGAACCCTGTCTTCAGAATTTTCTGCATTGGGAAATAAGATTTCTCTTTTGCCTTATCTATTCAGACGAAATTTCCCCAAAAGAGAGGACAACCTTGTATCTATCCCTTTCTCGCCAGCATAGCCCCGCATAGCCTCATGCAGGCTGCATATCAATACGGGGGCCAAATGCCAAGAGAGAAATGGCGCCGGACAACGTCGCTTAATATTAATGGCGTCCAGTCCGCTCCTCAGAGACCTACCCCATTTAGTACGCGTTAATATCTATGTCTCGTTGAGCACTCCAAGAGGACTATATTCCCCTTCCGTTGCCAGTGTGGTCCGTCAATACCTCTTCGAAATGGAGACCCAAGGAGCAAAAGAACCAGCAGAAGTATTAAGAGAGTCGCCTATATCCACTGTACATTCGCATGAAATTTCTCAAGATGCGCCAGAGGCGAACACGCCCGCGCAATCGCTCGGGCAATCCCCCAGGATCCTCCCGGTTGAGCCTCATCCTGAACCAGCAAATGAACCTCTAGTGTCCGACACGGCAGATCAAGAAAACAAACTACACAAAACAAAACCATCCGTATGGAAGTTTATCTCGAACTTGTTCATCTGGGAGGTCCTAACAATGACCTTATCCTCCGGGCTTCTGGTCGCGATCGTTGTGATCTTGACACAGTATGATGATCGTCCTCAACCGGCCTGGAGATTAGTGTCGCTCAACTCGGTGATCTCCTGGTTAAGCACAATTTCGAAAGCGTGCGTCTTATCCTCTATCAGCGAGGGAATAGGACAGCTGAAGTGGGTGTGGTTCACGCGAAAGAGCCGACCCTTAGTTGACCTGGGTGCCTTCGATGTGGCCAGCCGCGGTGTATACGGTTGTGCAGGCTTAGTTTGGAAACTACGAGCAAGGTATTATTTCCGCGATCGGCATCTTGACTAGGGACTTACGACATATATATAGACATTTTGCAGTCCTAAGCAGTCTAGCCGTTATCCTCGCTATCGCCTTTGACCCTTTTGTCCAAAATTTGATCCATTACTACCCTAAGGCTATTGCCGATTCCTCCGGAACTGCAATTGTATCGAGCAACTCTGACTACGACGCTCGTGGTCCTCCATTGGATGCTGGTTAGACGCTGAGTGAAATTCTTTTGATTTGAATGTCGCTAACCCAAGGTACAGCAATGACCTATCTTGATCCGGAAATGAAAGCTAATATCTACAATTCGATATTCAACAGCGATTCGTCGCGACCATGGTCTATTCCACGGTACACCTGTAGCTCAGGAAACTGTACCTGGGATCCAATTTCTACACTTGAAATGAGGGCGAGTTGCACGAACGTAACGGATCGACTGAAAACCGAATGTGATCACGACGGAGACAACCCGAGACCTAAATCAATTGAGCCGATCTGCTCTGTTTATCTTCCAGGCGGCAGTCGTAATCTCTCTGCGGCTTTTCAGTTGAACACATTCCAGGGTACGCCAATCGTTATAGGATCGGTGGACCCTTTGATATACACAAACAGCATCATACCCCCTATCCAACTTATCGCCCCAGTTGAGCAGCCACGAGGTGAAGCATGGGAAAATAAGTTTTCCAAGCAGTTCAAATGGCAGGCAATAGAATGCAGCGTCGATCCCGTTGTGCACAGCTTTCGCGCATCAGTCTCTGACGGCGTCTATCACCAAGAAACCTTGGCCATCTCCAAGAACGGGTCTTTTGAAGACTCCATTCATAAACACTACCATTTGCATCCCACCGGGGGGCCAGAGATGGGCGTTGAGCGAAACAAAGATTTTGTGATAAGGAGTGGATCGCTTGTAGCGATACAATACTTTTTTCAAAACTTCTTCGCTGGTTCAACGCGAATGGATCTGTTCGGCTTCACGTTTGTTCCTGACAGCAACAAATATAAATACGCGACGGCGGATTTGATGCAGTTTATTACACTTTCGAACATGACCGGTTGCGCCGGTGGAACTACAAAGAAGATGCACTGTGCTATGAATAATGTCGCCGACGCAATGTCAAAGTCCATTCGCGATACGGCGTCATCTCCAAACTTCGCTATTGCGACTGGCCAGGCGATGACGAACAAGACACACATTTCCATCCATTGGCAGTGGATCATTCTTCCGGTACTGGTATGGCTATTGGGCCTCCTCACATTAATTGGCACCATTTGGAAGACTCGCAAAGCTATGATTCCCACATGGAAGAATGAGACGATGCCACTCTTATCTCTGTATAGGGATGGCCACAACGAGAAACCGCAAATTGACCAAGTGTTGGAGACCGAGAGGGTGATGTTATACCAAAGTGAGGGCAAAATGGTGCTGAGTGGGTAGTTCTAAAAGAGATAGAGAGCGGGTGTGGAAGATTGCAAATCCTTTGATCACTCGTTCATGTGAGTTTGTTTTGTTTACACTGTAGGTACATGTGAATTGTGGCAGAGAGGCTACTGTCGAGCATCAAGATATCAAGATGACCATTTCAAATATTGGCATACAACGTGCCATCCCGTAACTCGTGAACACTGCTGTTTCGACTGTTTGGGGACCCGACCTCGGTATAACGAGTGCCATCCCGTAGCTCATGGATAGTGACTCTGCGATTGCTCTTGCGCTTGCGCTTGGAACCTCGCCTAGAATCTGGGCTGCCTGACTCGCTTGGCACTTGACTGCTTGGCGTCATATCGCGCTCCTGGCTGTCTCTCTCGATAGCTGCCTGGAGCATGTAGTCTGCGACCCTATCCGAGCCGACTTCATCGTACCATCGACGTAAGCCAGATGCATAGGCACGTTCCTGCGAGTCATATTCGACTGGGGGTCCGCTCGTCTCGGCATCGGGACCCGAACCGTCGAATACTGCCCATGCACTGGAATCGACACTAACAAGCATCACGGTGTGATCGAGGCTCCGGACTTTGAAGTCGCGTAAGAGGATGGCGTTACCTTCCGCCAATGACGGCATCGAGGCCTTGTAGCGCCGGAAAATCTGAGCACGAAGAGTTGTGCCAGCCATGGAGGGATCGGTAAGTTGAATAGTCATGAACCAATCTTTCGAGCCGGATTTGGCTCGGGTTATCGGCGAAGCCTCCTGCACGATTGAGATGGTATCGACTAACGCATTGTAATGATCAATGAGTGTAGCAAGCGGGGCGAAGTAAGAAAGCTTGCTACGCAGTCCGGAGGCATTACGGTCGGGGACTGGTGGCTGTGGAACGGGAGCTGCTGGTGCATTTGGAGATTCAGTGTTGATCACGACCTCCAGAGAGCGGCCGGGTTCGGGCGTTGTTGGGCGTTCCGCGGCTTCAGCGAGTTCCGAAGGAGCCATGGCATCATTATTTCCGTCAACGTGGATCTCTTGTTGGACATTTTTTTTGGGTTCTGCCCCGATACCTTCGTCTTGGTCTGACTCCGGGGAGCCAGCAGTCTGCAAAGTTTTATCCAGGCCAGTAGAAGCTTCATTTGCTTTGACCGTGAACGAAGTTTCAGGTTCAAAATCATGAACTAGTTCACGCGTGGATGCATTTTCTTGGGTGGGGTCGAGGTTTAAGAGCCGTCGCTCCAGTGGAGGCTCAATGGACGGCGAGATTCGACCGCCAAGGGGGTCAGGCCCTTCGACAGTCGGCTCATGGCTCAAAAAGAAATCGGCCATAATATTTCCAGCAGACGAAGGAATATGCAGATCAAATTGTCCGTCTCCAGTGAAATACTGCTCAGCATGACTTTCGACTTCCAAGGATGGGCCTTGATGATGAGATTCAGGCATATCAAGCAAGTTTGGATCAGCATTGCCTGATTGCTCCTCGTCAGAGTCCCCACCAATTGGCGCTTCTATCTGTGTGTCAAGTTTGGCTGCAGCATGACGTTCGTCGTTGTCAGCTTCTTCGATGAGCTCCACATCTTCCACTTCTTTATCTTCGTCCTGCTCAGGGTCTGCTGATGCCACTTCAGACGGATGGTCCGTTGCATCGTAGTCTCGGGACGATTCATCATCATCCATGTCACTCTCATGAACTCGATCATCCTGTTGATTATATTCGCGCTCATATTCATCTTCGCTCTCTTCGCTTTCTTCACTTTCTTCGCTCTCCTGGCGCTCATCGATATCGGAATCCTCTTCCACGGCTTGGTGACAGCCATCCTCTCGATCGACGCACCACGGCTCTGGATATTCCTGTACACCCGTCGCAAGATCGGCTGTAGCTGGAGGGATAGCTAGATGTGCAGATTCAAAGCGGTCTGAGCGATCGTCTCGTACTGCTGACTGAGAAGCTGAGGCTACCGGATCATTGGAGGCAGGCTCATCATCACTGTCACTGTCCAGCACGATTACTTCGTGATTTCCCATCTGGGAAGGCAGGTTCTGGTCCTGCTCGGGGGTTTCACCACCGGATTCAACGACACTGAAGTCATCTTGATCCAATCGTGATTCCAAACCAGGATCAGAATGGAAATCCTCCTCGTCCTCTTCATATTCATATTGGGAATCGTAATTTTCCACTGACTCCGCGTAGTACACTTCTTCATCCTTGATCATTTCATCCTTTCCTTCACTGTATCCTTGACTGAGTGAACGCTCGATATCATCTTCGCTTTCATTTTCCTCTTCAATGTCTTCCCTCCTTTCCTTTTCCTCCTCTCGAGCGGCTATCATTTTTTCGAGGGCATCGATCGCATCCTGATCGAAGGTAGAGGCAGGTTGTGGATAATTGGCCGACTGAATCTCTGGCCCAGAATGTCCCTCGCCATGAGGTTCACCCGGATATTGAGGAGATCCCACATTGTAGCTGGCAGTTTCGATGCTAAGATCGGCTTGAGCAATACCTGATCTATCAACCCTTTCTGAGGATTCATTTACCGAGCGCTCCTCCAAGCGTGAAGATGGTGCCAAATCGTCGTGAACACCAGGAGAGTCATCCGGTTCACCTTCTGAGCCCGGAATTGATGCTGGATGGTCGCGGGAAATGTTAAGATCATCAAAAGCATGCTTCTGCTCTGCTTCATTTGACATTTGAGCTTCGTCGCTGGCAGTATCGATGATCACGTCAAGTTCAGCGACAACTGATTCCTCAATAGCGTTGGAGGGGTCGATTATCTCCAGTTCCCGATCTTCTGGCAAAACTTCTGAGCGTGGATCTGATGCGGAATTGTAGCTGAAGACAAAACCGGCATCCAAGACATGTTCCTGGTGGATGGCTTCAACATCCGGATCAACTGGTTGCACTGTCTCTGTATGAATGGAATCGCGGGCGTCGGTATCATGTGTCTCGATGGAGGGTGATGCGGGCGTCACTATGGGGTCCCCTTCCGCAGGAGCAGATCGAAACTCTTGGGACTGCGTGGGCGCGGTCCATGGCAGGAAATAGCCCGCTGAGCCAGGGTTATTAGGCACAATGGGCGAAGGGATCGGGAGCCCCGGAGAAGGGATGGGTCGGATCTGCGGTGTGTCCGTTGGCAGATGAAAAGGTGTTCCAAATTTATCAACTTGTTCAGACATAACATCTGACTCGCCGGCATTTCTTTCAAGGATACTCCCAGTCAATTCAAGGGAAGGCTTCGCAAACACCGCAGGTGGTTCCTGTGGTGCATCCTCTGTGTATGCCGGAGCTTGGGCAGCATCCGTTATTGGCTCGTCTGAAGGCTCACTCGCCGAATCTGCCTCGTCAAGCTCTTGATCAATAGATTGATCCAAAGCCTGTTGCCAATCCACAGGGGCTTCTTGCTCATTAGGGCTTTCCGGTTCGTTGATAACGCGCCAATCTTCCCTGTGTAAGCTGTACCTCGGTTTTTTTCTTCCTTTCCCTGGAACAAATCCATCTTCTTCCGCAAAAGGATCGAAAGCAGAACGGATTGTTCCTCCGGATGAGGTTCGAGTGCTCTTGAGGAATGCCGGCGATCCCCAGGCGCCTGCACTATAAGGCAGGTCGAGTTCGGAATTGATTGAGTTCCCACTTGGAGTTGTCGGCGGTGCGAGTTCGGTTTCATGCGGCGCCGTCACTTGCGGCTCAACCGATATTATCAACGGAGGTTGGGAAGATCGGAAGATCTAAATGAGCAGGAGTCAGTCTGATAAGATACATATCGAGTTTGGGAGCAACATACCTCGAGAGACGCGCCATTCTCGAAGTGCGCATCCCACGCGACAGACCTTTCCGGGGTTTGCTGGACGCCTTCATTGCTGACGAACTTGGTGTGTTTCAAGGCCAGACAAACGGTATCCCCAATCCCGACATGCGATTCCGCGACCTTTTCTGCGACACGTCCATGGAACGTGGCTTTGATCTGTCCTTTGGCACCCCTCAGGCGGAAATCCGGCTCCACTAACAGAAGGCTCACAGACTTGGTCGAAGAGGAATATGGCCACACAAGCGCTATAGCGGCAAGAAAGCACTTCTCGGCCAATTGTTCAAGGCCAGGAGAAAGCTGAGCTATCGGAATCCTGGTCAAATGCGCCAGCGCATTCGGCGCGGAAGACTGCTCGGGGGACTGCTCGATCGCATTCATTGCGCCGGTGTTCCCACGCCCGACTGTTGTGTTGTCAAGCTGTCCACATGTCAAAAGGAATAATAGTTCAGATAAAATAAAAAGCTAAGAAATGCGAGTAAAGAAAACCGAGGGGCTGAAAGGAAATGCGGAGGAATATTTGGTGCAACAAAGAGGTGATGAAGCTGTAGCTCCGTCAGGTAATATTACAGTAATAACGAGAAGAGAAGGTGGCGATTGACGTATCGTCGAAACCGAAATTACCACCCTCATTGAATTGTCCATGTCCAACGGAACTTGCTGATTGGTCGATTTTATTGTAGAGCCACGTGTATTTACTGCTTTTGAATGTGAATAGATTGAAATATCTCTATGTTGTATAGGATTCACATCGTCATGGCGCCTAAGGTACAGACACCAACTATATAACACAGCTCCACTATGGCGAAAGCGCTAGCTAGGCAATCCACCGAGGCCACTTCCAAGGTTGTATCTCGCAACCAACTCGCATTTCTAACTACATAAATCACTTGTCCGTCAAGAGCTCGTTGAAAGCATGACAATCACAAATCCTATTCGTCGAGTAGGTGTCATCGGCGCGGGGCCCTCTGGCCTTGCTGCTGTCAAGTAAGCGGGGTTGTTACAGACTCGCCCCCAGCACGGCAATGCTGACCGACTCAGATACCTGCTCGCCGAGAAATGTTTCGATCGAATCGAGGTCTTTGAGCAAAGAAGCTCCGTGGGAGGAGTTTGGAACTACAGTCCAAGTTCCTCTAAAAAGGGGATGTCAACAACTGTCCCACATTTAACCCCTCATGAGCCAGCCGAGAAGCCAGTATGGATTGATGGTACTGCTGGGCGTGAGGCGACATTCGTGTCTCCGCTATATGATCGACTGGAAACCAACATTCCTAAGGAGTTAATGCGTTATTCGGATAAGGCCTTCCCATCGGAAGCCCAGCTGTTCCCCAAACACCGGACAGTGAGACAATACCTCGAAGACTATGCCGAAGATGTCAAAAGCCTCATTCAATTTGAGACACAAGTCTTAGAAGTGAAACTTAAGGATGAAACTCTAAGTACCTGGAGTCTAACGGCAAAGAGTCTTTCAACTGGCATCGACACAACCCACACTTACGATGCTGTGGTGGTTGCAAGTGGCCATTTCACGGTCCCTTATATACCTGACATCCCAGGAATACAAGCATGGGACGCATCACACCCGGGTGCTATTTCTCATTCCAAGTTTTACGACTCCCCAGAACCTTTCCAAGGGAAGAAAGTGGTTGTGGTAGGAAGTTCTGCTTCGGGTCTTGACATTGGTGACCAGATCAACGAAGTAAGCCAAGGCAAACTGTTGGTCTCCCAACGATCTGAATCATACTTGGCTCCACCCCCGAATGGCGATAAAATCATCTGCCCGGAGATAGTCGAGTTTCTTCCTCCGACAGCCTATGACAGAGGTATAAAGTTTGCGGATGGTCGCGTTGAGGAACATGTTGACGCCGTTGTTTTCTGCACTGGCTATTTCTATTCATATCCTTTCTTGTCTTCACTCAACCCACCGCCTGTGACCCACGGATGGCGAACGATGAATGTCTACCAGCAATTGTTTTATATAGACCACCCCACTCTTGTCTTCCCGGTGCTTTCGCAGCGGGTTATTCCATTCCCTATGGCTGAGAACCACGCTGCTGTCTTCTCCCGTGTATGGTCCGCAAGGCTTACACTCCCATCAAAAGATGAGATGAAGGCATGGGAGGATGCTGAAATTGATGCCAAAGGGGGTGGAAAAGAGTTCCACCTTCTTCCATTTCCCATGGATGCTGACTACCTCAATTTTCTCTACGACTGGGCGGAAAAGGCCAACCCACGACCTGGACTGTCTAACAACGGACAAGGCAAACTTGGTACTCGGTGGGGTGAACGGGAAAGATGGATGAGGGCCCATTTCCCAGATATCAGACGTGCTTTCGTACAGCGAGGTAACGAGCGGAGCGAGATCAAGAAGCTAGCAGAGCTTGGTTTCGACTTTGAAGAGTGGAAGAGGCAACAAGATTATCACTGATGATTATGGTATAAGGTCACATCTCAACCCGTACTTACAACATTAACTACGATCTAAATCAATTAGAAATACGATAGTTTTGCATATTTTAATTACTATAATAGACACATGACCCCATAGCCGTACCTAGACCGACATGTCACTATTCCCAACTGTTATAGATCTACCGATAAGCGTTATCACGTGAAGCGGGCTATCCATCCGTCCGTCGCGCGCCGTGTACGGGTTTACTCTCTTTCATATACCTTCGCAGTGTTTTGGGGAAGTGTTAGATGTTGCCCAGAATTGAAAATTGTATGTGTCTTGGATCAATGCAGCTCGTATGAGCTTATCTTGAGTATTGAACCTACATTCTCATTTCATCCCCGTCATGTTATCCAACATCTCCCCGACACCAATCGCCCGCACATGATGTTTCGAGAGCAGCCTCACTCGCCGAAACTCGATAGTCACCACAGAAATAATACTGACCGTCCTCCAGCTACAACTGTGGTTATTGGCGATAGCAGTGAAAGCAGCGACGGTAGTGATTCAGACGACCAGGAGTGGCCTATAAAGTGTATCCTCCGTGAAACAGACACCGAGTATCTTATTGATTGGGAGGGCCCTTACGATCCAACTTGGGTGAGTTGCCGTGGAATTAGTGGACAAAAAAGGCAGAAAGAATTGCTAGCCGAGCCTGGACTAACAAATGCGCTGGCCTTGCTTGTTTAGGAACCCAAAGAGAACGCGAGTGAGCTTGCTATACAGGTCTGGAACAAGCGGAAAGCTCGGCGGCCAAGCGAGCTAGATCGAAAATCGACACGTGGGAGGATCCCTCAATCGCCCAGCGTCATCGAAGTCTCTTCCTCATCTTCAGAAGCAAACATAGGCCCGGGGGATCGCTACTGCACGCCCTTCGACGAGACCCACCAGAGCGACGCTGATTCCGATAGTCATTCAAGAGCTTCCTCATCGCTATTTGTGCAACAAGAAGGCCTTTCAGAGATAGTAGACTCTCTTCAATCTCAGTACATTGGAGCCTCGGGCTGCTCTCACGGAACCGACTCTCCATCCCGATCTCTCTCCGATTGCTCTTCGCCCCTAGCGGCTGTATCCACAAACTCTTGCTCGCAGGCCGGCGCCACACTTTTTGAATATATCCCCGAGTCATCTAGTCCACCTGAATACCTGCAACCAGGTGAGTGGGACGACGTCAATACGCAGCAGCCTGGTCCGACTTGTGACTCAAAGGCCAATTCGATTAATAGCTGCTTATCGCGTCAACAGTACTCCGCAGAAATCAACAACGTTGTTGAACTATCAAACCCGAACACGCCGGGTGTCGGACTGAGCTCCAAGGTCTCCGAAATAGCCGAGACGCCTGTTCAGCCGCCGGGCCCAGGGGCTGATTTCTCATACCTGGGCTCTTTCCCCCCTGATAATACCCCATCTCACAACAATTTGACTTCTCAGCCTTCTGGCTCGTGTGGTTCCATCGTCAGAGGTAGTGTCACATGCCACTTTAACTTTTACATTTTGCTTACATTTTCGCAGATTGCGAGTTCGTCCAGTCAACGTATCTGAGCTCAATTCCAGAGAGAGTCTTTCAATACCTGTCCCAGCATCCAGAAGAGCTCAGTTCTGGTTCCACTAGACCAGTGCGTTCGTTTTCTAATCTTGTGGAAGAAGAACCATCTGCCGAAATCATGGAAGACAAAGAGCCCAAGCTATCGGATCCTTCTCTCTCCGATGCCCCTTTGGATCGATACAGTCAATTGCCAGGGTCCACTCCGACGGAAAAGATACGGAACGCCTGGGCCAGACTCAGCGAAGAAAATCAATCTGAGCTATCGCAAACAGCTAATGTTGTCGAAACTCCGTCTTCCGTGGGGGATATCGAGGCTTCGATCCCTGTGTCTGTCCCCGAAGCAACTGCACCGCTTAGTGTCAGACCTGACACGGATTCCTTTTCCCATTCACATACTGCAGTCCACCATGGTCATTCCGAACCTTTACTACCACCTTCGGAACTAGCCCACGGAGGTCATATGAGTCAGCCTTCACTCCAAACTATCCAGCCCAGCGCGTTGACCGTCACCGGCATGGATGACGAGGTTGTGCCTGGATCAGTCCACCTTGGGCCATCTGAGTTTGCCGTCACCCTTCCGATGGATTCCCGTGTGAAGGATGACTATGAGCGAGTGCTATCAGATGCAGCTACAAGCATCCGCCAATTTTTCGACAGCTTTCAGTCGAATACCCAAATTTCTGAACCTGAGGTGGGTGGAAAATCTTTCTTGAATATAATTCGTATTGCTTACATCGTATGCACAGCGAGAGGGTTTGCATTCACATATGTGGGAGGTCATCGCGCGGTTGAGCAATGTTTCAACCCATCCAGACCTGAACATCTCCGATCACCTGAAAGATGCCGACCCCGACCTTGCGAAAGAAGCATCCTGGGCCGAATACTCTAGTGCAAAGTTTCTCTTCCTTGGTCATCTCATGGAGATCGTAGGTACACACGAGCTTCATTTGATTCTTGCTGTTCAAGACGAGAAGAAACAGGCAGTTCTTGAACGTTATCTCCAAGGGAAGGGGTTTGCATACACCCGACCCCGTGAAGAGATGGGCAGCACCTTGGAAGTTTCCTTAGCCAAGGAGTCGCTCAGCTTTGGAATTCATTCCAGTGAGACCGCCCGTGAACTCTACAAGCCGCCGTCTGCTATTTTTGCCTTGGATTCGTATTTTAGACCGAGAAGTCCGTCCATGCAGCACCTCCGAACGACTTATGCCCGAAACGGGAGCTTGCTTCCCGTCATCTGGTTTCTTGTCGCCAACACAAGTGAACACATCGAGCGTTGTTTGCCCGACTCACCGGAGCCCGATCGACTGCGTCTACTTGTGCACTATATTGCACGTCTCCATGACGAGGTCGGTGATCTCCAGGATGATGCCCTCGGCGTACATGAAGACGCTGAAGAAATTCTTGGATACCTCTTGGATCCTCTTGCTGGTTGGCCGTTGCCTACCATTGAGCCTTTGAGTCTTGTATCCCTGGAGGAGTTAGAGTGCTACAGCTCTTCATCTGACGAGGCGATGCCGCCGGCCCAGAAACGCACACTAGTAAGTAGGCCACATGTTGATATCTGAATTCAACTAACACTTAGGAGCAGGACGAGCAACCCGAGGGACCCTCGTCGAAGCGCGCACGGGTTGGTACCCAAGAGAACAGCCCGTTGACCGAGTCAACTAAGCCACCCAGTCAGACATTGGACCGTGATTTGCAATCACTAGAGAAGAACCTTATCCAGATGAAACAGATCCATGCAAGTGAAAAAGCGCAGTTGCAGGCTGACCTTGCTCACGCAAATTCTCGATTCGAAGAAATGGAGAAGGCGCTGGGTATTCTACAACACCGTTACGAGAGTCGGACGAAGGAACTCCATGCAACTCGCCAGGAGCGTGATCGCCTGGCCGAAAATAACCCGACTCTGGAACGACGCGTCGAGAAACAAAATCAGACTATCTCTAGCTTGAAAGAAGAACGGGCAGAGCTGAAGCACGAGCTCGACGAAGCCAGGCAGGCACTCAGAGATGGAGGTGGCAGTCCTGCTGAACTGGAGACAGCACGCGAGGAAATCCGCCGCCTGGCCAGAGAAAATTCGAACCTTGAGCGCAAGGCTGAGTTCGAGAAAAACCAATCCGAGTACATGCGAGAGCAATATCAAACTGCGTCTACAGCGGCCGCTCAGTCCGGCACAGAAAGCCGCCATTTGGCCGCCGAGAATGAGAAACTAAAGCGCAAGGCCGACAGCAATGCGGTCCAACTTGGTGAGCTGCACATGAAGGACGAGTCAGTTCGTCATATAGCTCGAATCGAAGAGCTAGAATTAATTCTGGCTACACGCGACGAATTCTTACGCAGGAAGGAAGATGAGCTTCGTGAAATCCGGAAGAATCGTCCATCCACTCGCTCAACCAGCACTCAACCGCGAAGCCCCAAGTGGTCCGGCAGTCGTCCGACCAGCCCCGGGGTTGGTCATAATGGTAACGGTAATGGCGGTCTTGGGGGTAGGGGCAGTGCGCTACGATACAGTTCAGAGATGCCTTTCTGAGCACATTACTCGATTCCTCCCGTGCTTCCCACTCTCCCTGCTATTGATGATCTTCTTGGCGTGCGTTTTTCTCACCCCGGCGAATCTATGACGTCTAGACACGATACATAGACGGGGCATTTGCTCTTTGAGAAGCATTTCACAATCACCTTAGTTAGATCTTTATTCCTTTCATCCGCTCGTTACGACATAGCATTTTCCTGGCGTTCCATCTTTTCATCCATTGCGACCTTCCCATTCACCCATGAGCGATTTTCGTTTCGCGAGAATAAAGCGGGCCTCGGATGCAACGGTATCTGAGTTGTGTACCTCCAAGTGCTGCTGTTTCATTCGGTTTTCATGGTAATTCTGTTCACCATAGCTCCAATGACAGATATCTTAGTGCGTTCGTTCGATTTCTAGGTTGCACCTGTTCTTGTTTAGTGTTGGATTTTCTCTAGTCATTCAATTGATGCCTTCGAAATAAAAACAACGCTTCCAAATGTAAAATATCAATCTGGTTCGTATTCGGTAATTATGATATGACCCACTAGGATAATAAAACAGGGAAAGAAAGAACTTTGTCCTGGACAGCAGCATACAAAATGGGCAGGAAAAGTAGAAGAGAAAAAAAGGCCCATGTCCAAACCTCCTGGAAATAGACATGCACAGCCCCAAAATGCAATGCTTTTACACAGAAGCCATAGAGTTGGCAATGAATGTAGCCAACTCTTTGGCTTTCTCGCCACGGGTCATAGTGAAGTGGTTCGCATCTTCCATAACGGTAATGCCGCCAATATGCTTCGGCCCAACGAGAGTATCCCAACCATTTGGACCGAGGTCACTGCGGTTGTTCAACAACCAGAGCATCTCACGGGGGTCTGGGCTACCATCCACAGCTGGTGCAGGGCGGGCATCACCTGGCTTAGAGCAGACACCATCCTTGGCCCAGACCAGGAAGGTCTTAGGCAGTTTGTCGGCCATCTTGGGGTCTGTATAAGGGAATGGAACCGCCTTGTAAGCATCCAAAGAGTCGATGAAGGCCAGGAAGTGAGGGAGGAGCCATTTGGGTGGAGGTGCCTTGCCCTCTCCAAACAGTCCGATCGTGTCGAAGAAGCTGTATAGACGGGGAGGTAGCTTCTCCAGTCCAATGGGGAAAGGTGAGTCTAGCAGGAGCAGGCGCTCGACTCGCTCGCCTTCCTCGAAGATCAACTGGCGCGCCGCGTCGTAGGCACAAATGCCACCGGCGGACCAGCCACCGAAGTTGTAAGGGCCAGTGGGCTGGCGGCGCCGAATCTCGGCAACGTAAGGAGCTGTGAGCTCGTCGAGGCTGAACTTGAGGTTCTCGGGGGTGCGCATGTATGGGCAGTTCAGTCCGTAGACACACACATCGGGGGAAACTCCAGGGATGGTAGCATAGGAGGTGGCAGAACCAGAGCCATCAGGGAATAAAAACAACTTCTGAGTCGCTGTCCTTGGGTTTCCTTGCAGGAGGATCGAAGTGGCCGGCGGGTGCTGGATGGCAGTGCTGGGAGCGACGACCGGGGCTTGAACAGGGATCTGTTCGGGGAGTCTGATTGGCTCTGCGGGAGCAAGCTTGGGCTTCAGATCGAGAGTTGTCTCGATATCATCAAGTGTTTGGTTCTCGATGAAGAACTCTCCCGGGAGATCAAGATCGATATCTTCACGGATCTTACCGAGAACTGTGAGTGACATCAATGAGTCCAGACCCATCTCACCAAGGTTCGCATCGCCACTGAGCTCCTCGGGCTCAACACCGATCTCCTCTGCCAAGATTGAGACAATCTGCCTCATGCTGTCGTTTTGCTCCTGGAATCCATGTGTCATTGATTTCTCATACGCAGGAGTTGGCAAACCACTGGTGTTTGGAGACGATATGTCGGTTGAAGATGCGGCCGACGACATGTCACTTTCGCTGCTTGACCCATCACTGCTTTCACTAGGGCCCATTTGAGCTAGAAGACGTTTGAAGTCTTTGACAGTTGGATTATCCACGAAGACATTCGAGTCAAGATCCAGTCCCATGTCCTCACGGTATCGCCCAGTGACAGTCAGCGACAGAAGAGAATCAACTCCGTAATCAGCGAAGTTGAGATCATCAGTCAGCTCAGACGCCGAAAGCCCGACCTCTTCAGCCAGAATTGCAAGAGCGCGCGTAGCCAAAGGTGACAATCCAGATTTTGGTGAAGGGGACGCCTTTTTGGCAGGGCCAGTCTTTGCCTTCTGGATGTCGACGGGAGCAGGGACACGTTTGGCAGCCGGCTTAGATGCCGGGGCTCCGGTGGGAGGAAGAGCCATGTCGAGGATCTTCCGTGCCAGAGCTTGGAACTATATTGCATTTTGTTAGTGTTTCATTCGAGAATACTCGGACGGCTTTTCAACGTACCTTAACACCACCATAAACAGCAACGATGTCATCACCTTCAAACATATAAACATCACCAGCCCAAATAGAGTCTTTCCATGGCTGCATCCTCACGTAGGTGCGGTAAGTGACGCTGGGATTGAACTTCTTCAAGCACCGCATCGAGTCCCATCCATGATTGACGAACACTTGGTTCTTTGAGTCGGTGTTATCACTGGCGTTCATAATGAAGCCGGACAAGTGACCGATGCTGTCAATCCAGAATGGATTGCGATGGAAGTTGCCCGGCGGAGCCTCGAACTTGACCAGAGCGGTAGCCTCGTGTTGCTCACTGTCGAGGATGACTTCCCGAATAGATTTGTAGTTCTCGTCATAATCGACCAGAGAAGCAAAGAGCTTATACACCATCCCTCGCTTCATGCGATGGGCCTGGCCGGATATCGTGCTCTCTTGGAGATGCTCAATGCTTCGCTTGATGAGGTAAGAGCTGCGCTTCCACTCGAGCTCGTAAGCACTGGGATCGAAGAACTTGATGTCGCAAGTGGCGTGATCAAGAATCTTCTTCCCCTCTGGGGTCACAGACCACACCTGCACCTTGGCGTTTTCTTCGGCCCAGTTTGCGGTGGCCAAGACGCGGAAGAGTTGCTTGCCTCCCTTTGCAATAAGCGGCTTGGGGACTACCACGTTACAAATATCAAATCCGCGGTCTTTCCACTCGGGTTTGTAGTTCTGAACAAGGTATTCACCGAGTGTTTGTGCAATATCGGCGTACAAGGACTAAGTTTCAATTAGCAAACAGAGCTGTTAATGAAAAAATTGGGGACAGGCATACCGATGGAGTAAGACAGGCACCGTTCACCTTGTGACCTGAAATGACGCGATTGAGGTCGGGATCAGCAATGTCATTCTCGATAACGATAGATGCAGACGAATTGTCACCACTCGTCTCCAAAACTTTCTGGGCTGCCGATGACAAGAACACAGCGACTGGCGCAGCCTCAGCCACTGGTACCGCCGGTGCACCCTTGAGCAGACAGAAGTCATTGGTGTAGGGAATCCAATAATTCTTGAGATCCCACTTGTAAGAAGGAAGTGGAAGGACTTTGTGTCCGGCAGTAAAGTCCTGGTGATACTCCTTCCATCGAAGCTCAATTCCAGCCAGATAAAGAGCCGAAGTACTGCTTGATAGAACCTTCCACGTATCTTCCTGGCGACGGAGAGATGCCACAGTAGTTGCCTGAGGACCGAAGGTTGCCTTGACCATTCCAGAGCAGACGGGGTGAGAGCCAATCTCAACCCAGATTGTCTTGTCATTAATCAAGTTGGAGTGCCGAGTAGCTTCCAGAGCACCCAGAAAATTGACAGTCTCCCGGCAGTGGCGGGTGAGGTAGTTGGGGCCAAGCAACTCGCTGTTGGTCTCATTGATGACGTCCCCAAGAAGGGCAGATACGAATGGAATAGAGGGCGTATTGAAATTGACGCCCTTTCCAATTTCAGCAAGGCTCTCAAGGATAGGTTCAACTTGAGCTGAATGGAAAGCAAAAGGTACATTCAGCTTGGTAGCCTTGAAACCTTCGTTGGTAAGGGTGTGTGCAAGTCCGTCAATTTTCTCTCTTGCACCACTAATAACAGTCTCGCTGGGCGCATTGATACAAGCCACCTCGGTAGCCTCGTCAAGGAACTGCTTGACCTGTGCCACTGAAGACTTGATAGCAAGCATAGCATGCGTTCCAACCTTGATCTGCTCGGTGAGAAGTTGGGCTCGTCGGCCAGCAAGGTAGATAGTGTCACTGGTTGTCAAGACACCCGAAGCATTCAGCGCAGCAAACTCGCCGAGGCTATGGCCCATGACAAAGTCAGGGGAAACACCCAAAGACATCCAGTACTTGGTCAATGCCATCTGCACGCAGGTGGTTCCGAGCTGGGTAATGACCGGGCTGTGCTCTTCAATTGGCACACTTCCATCGATTAAGGACAAAATGGATGGGAAGCCCTGGCTCTCACCAATACAGTTCAAGTGCTCAATGTGGGCGCGGAATTGCGAGCAACTCTCAAACAGTTGGCGTCCCATACCTGCGTACTGAGCACCCTGTCCGGTAAAGACAAAGCCGATACCAGGTGGATTGACAGGAGCTGGGCTGATGCTGTCTCGGTTAACGATAGGAGCCAATCCACTTCTCACTTCATCCAAAGTCGATCCAGTGACAGCGACTCTGAAGGGATGATGTATTCGCCTCGCCGTAGTCGTGTAAGACAGATTGGCAAGAAGGCTAGCCTCGTTGGTATTGAACGAGTTCTTGTTTGTGTCTATGTACTGCACGAGAGCAGAGATATTGTTCTTCAGCGCAGACTGAGACCGAGCAGAGACAAGCACAGGATGGGCACACCGGGGGTCTTCCGCATTTTCCTCATTAAGGGGGCCGTCCTCGACCATCAGAGCAGTATTGCCACCGGCAGCCGAGAAATTGTTGACGAAAGTCTTTCGCTTGCCGCCATTTGGCCTGTTCCAGGGGGTGGGCTCAGACGCAATGTGCACGTTGCGCTGTGGGAAGTCTGTCGGGAAGTTGTGGTTGATCTTGGTCTTAATGCCACAGTGAGGTGGGATCATGTTCTTCCGCATCATCATCAAGACCTTGATTAGAGCTGTGACACCAGAGGCAGACTCTCCGTGGCCAACGTTTGACTTTGCTGAACCGAGATGAAGGGATTGGGTTGGTCCACGACGGTAATCAGGAGCGAAGACATCGAGGACCGACTGCATCTCCACTGCATCACCTGCCTGGGTGCCAGTTCCGTGCATTTCGATATAGCTGATCTCTTTTGGATCGCTGTTGGACTCGTTGAGAAGCTTGTCAAAGATGAAGGACTGTGCTCCCACATGCGGCCGAGTAATTGATACAGCCTCTGCTGAGTGGTTGGTGTAAGCTCCTCCAATGACACCGTAGATCGGATCGTTGTCTGCCTGGGCATCTTCCAGTCTTTTAATGACAATGGAGCCAATACCATCTGCTCTGCAGTAGCCATCAGCCCCATCGTCAAAGGTGGTACAGTTTCCGGTCCTTGAGAGGAAGTGTCCACGGTCGAGACCAGCATGGTTGTCAGGATTTGTCAGAATGTTGACGCCGCCGGCCACAGCAGAGTCACATTCGTTCCTCCACAGGGAATTACAGGCGACATGGATTGCCGCAAGACTCGAGGAGCAGGCTGTATCCACGCTGACACTAGGGCCGCTGAACTTGAAATAGTAGTTGATGCGGCCAGGGGTAAAAGCACGGTTGCCACCGGGGATAAAGTAGGTGTCAATGTCCTGGCCACTGTTGACCTCACGGTAGTCATCACTGGTCATTCCATAGAAGACACCCACGCGGTTCTTCTGCGTAGAGGGCGTGCTGTCAGGGATGAAGCCTGCCATTTCCAAAGCCTCGTAGGCCGTAAGAAGTGCCAGACGTTGAGCAGGGTCTGCTTGAAGTGCTTCACGAGGAGACATATTGAAGAATCGAGGGTCAAACATTCCCGCGTCGTTATACCAGCATCCATATTGAACTTGGCTGGTGTTTCTTGTCTTCCCTTCCATGTCGACGTGAGCCTTGACATCCCATCGCTCTGGGGGGACCTCGCGGTGAACGTCCAGTCCTTTTTTCAAAAGGTCCCAGAATGCTTCGGTGTCTGGTGACTCCGGGAATCTTCCTGAAAGGCCAACGATTGCAATCTTCGACTTCTCGGCACGGCCGGTATGGTTATCTCCCTCAGAATCCTTCCGGACGTCACCAATTGTGCCGTCAACCTCGAGATTGCAGACTCCAGCCTTTTTCAATGAGTTAAATAGACTCTGGGTTGCAGTGCTGGAAATTGGGAACAGGGTGCATGTTGTGGCGGATTCCAACGTTGACTGGCAAGATTCGATGACCTTGTCCCAGCAGAGCTGTCGCTGCAGAATCTCCTGGAGAGAAAATCTCAAAAGCTGATCAAGGCTCTCAGCTTGGAATTCCTTGCCTGTCTCGCTTGACAGAACAGGGATATGAGGCAAGTAGGCCATGAACTGTTCGGTAGGCCAAGATTCCAAAATTCGGTTAATATCCCTCTCATCATACAAATGCGAGGCATGATAAGGACCGTGGATTGGAACTCTTGTAGGCTTGTGCTCCTTCGAGAGACTAGTCTCGATGAAACGGCCCAGGGAAGCCGGAGGACCACTGATCGTGAGTCCATTAGGGCTGACTGCGCTGACATAAGGTTTAGAAACGCGGGGCAAAGCCTTTAAAACATTAACAATGATCCTATTTTATTTAAAGTCGGTTTGGGGAAGAGACTTACATTCTTCTGCGCGTACTGTTGAATCAAATCCTGAGCCTCGAGCTCGCGCATGCCAGAAATTAGTACAGACCAGCTTGATGTTGCCGATTTTCTAGGTTCTATGAGCTCTTGTACTTTTAAAACGCACATGCCGAGTCTCAAGGCAACAACGACGGTCTCAACGCCAGCCGGGATGAGCTCGCCGATAGTTTTCGAAGAGCTCACAGCCGCGGATGTGAGCTGACCTGTGCAAAGACCAATGATGCAGCTCTCATCACCTGACGGATAGGCATGGCCCAGATCGCCATAGTAGCTATCAGATATTGTGAGTAAATTTGATTCCAAATATCGTCGCTTCATCAAAGGTTCGGTAATATGCTTACTGGATGAAACATCCCAACTGGTAAATTGTCGTCAATGCGCTCTCTAGAGCTGGGTTCGGCCCTGACTCTTTGAACCTCGCGAGGAGATCAACGATGCTGGTAAAACGGGGGAAGCCCTGACGTTCAGATGGCGGAAGCGATGTAATTTCCTTTCGCAACGCATAGTAAGACTTTTGGAAGAATGCTGCTAGCAGCGAGTCATTCTTAGCATGCAACAGACGACGGAGGCCCGAATCGAACTCCGCAGTCTGATCTCCGAAGAGATACACATGACTGGGGCCTTCCATAATCCTCCCAGTGGCAAATTAGTGGTCTCAGGAGTATATGGAGAAAGAAGAAAAGTTTACGCCCCGCCGAACAATTGACGGATATCACATTTTATAGAGGATGTGACGGGAGTATCTCTTATGTAGTGGGTCAATGAAAAAAAGTGTAATAGACTGCCTTACAATTGTCTTAGTAGTATCTAAATAGGAAATGGAAGAGTTCTGGTTCCAGTTACTTTTTCTTGAGAAATCAGGGTCATATGGTATGGTAACCCAGCTGAAACCATTGGGAAATTTATGTTCCTATGGCTTATCTCCAATATTCGGCGAAGGTCCATAGTTATGTATTTCTGGTAATGATGTGTATGCATCCTGAAATTGACCAATGGTACCGTTACTGCAGTAGATTCCATAATACTTCCAAGAGTTCGGTATGGCTACCTGAGCAGAGCCTAAGTGGAGATGGGCTGGACCAAACTGAAAGCTTGGTTCCCTGGATAATCCGATTGGATCCTTAATTACAAGTTCGAGTTACTAAAGCTACCGGCAAACCGATGATAGTTCCAGAGCGCTGTTTGCGGATAAAAGCAGCAATGACTGCAGAAATCAAAGACTAAAATGGGTAGTGAGCCGAGCTATCCGTGCAAAGTCTGTCATGAGACAGTGGTATAATAGACAAGAGACCCGTTCTGAAGAAAAATTACAATGAAGTTGCAATTAAAGAGACGATGTCGCCGCATTCGGAAGGTTACAGGCGCTGCTTCTATATGTCACGTGGTCTTGTTTGCCCTACGTAAACTGACCTCTAAGACCAGAAATTTCAAATGATGCATCAACATTCAACAGAAGGGTCTAAAGAGGCTTATTCGTCTTAAATTTAGAAGCCACAGCGACATTCTACTAAGTATAGAACACCTCCGCTCCACAATATAAAATCACCAAGATGTAAATACATGATTTGAATATAGAAACCGATTCTAAACAGGATCTACAGATATCTCACTAATTAAGTAAGAAAATGTGGATCATCTGAAGGTATCATTGCAATGTTTTCCATACATCATGACTTCAGCCTTAAGACTTATTTTCTGAGACATCGACTCTTGTTTCAGATGGTCGCAGCTCGGAAGATTGCACTCCCATTTTACGGTGATATTTGGGCCATCAATAAGATATTCAAATAACAATTGTTCAATGCCGTCGATATAAGTCATTTAATTGGTAATCTGGAATGAGCTATTACTTACACACATGGCTCATCGCACGATCGCTCCATGGCGACCCAGGTGTTCTCAAGCCATCGATGGAGTGGACCCAGATGGTCCATTGGCAACGGACCGACCTCCCGCCATAAAATGACCGCAAACGGACTGTATTTGACGAGGAGAGAAAATATATGAACAAACAAAACAAAACTGAGTGGTATCCTACCTATTATGGCCGCTGGTTCTATGTATGACCAGACAAAACGAAAGACAAAATATTAGTAGAAAAACGACACCAGAACACAAAAGTCATCTATAAAACGCAACCAAATGCGGGCGCGTGGCGCTTCTTATCTTGAGCAGCCATCAGAGGCGACCACGCAGCGAGATTAATGGTAGCCACATCCTCACGGTGAAGCTTAGGCATTCCGTCAGCAGCTGGGGACTATATATCCCTGTCCTCATGGATTACCATGTCGCGGTGATGTCAGAAATGGAAGCGCTCGTTGCCCGAGCAACGTGTTGACCACCAGTAGCCTGGCGTTGGCCCTAGCCATGAGTCCAAGGCTGGGGACTCTGGTCCTCACCCTTGGGGACCGGAGGCCAGACTTCAATACCATCGAGTAGAGCAACAGCCATTCCATTCGCCATATGAGTATGGATATGGCAGTGGAAGAGGAAGAGTCCAGGGTTGACAACCTGGTACCGCACCATCATCCATGAGGTCCCTTGGGGCCATTAGTAACGAAAGTATCTCTCATTAGGGGTTTCTTCAGTTGGAAGAATTCAGGGCGCTCAGCGTAAGCTTCTTCGGTGCTGGACCAATTAAGAATACCAGGACCAACACCAAGGATGAAACCCTTGTCGGAGTGCTTGTGCATGACATGCGGGGCTTGGATGGCAGGGCTGTTGGGCATTTCACCCAACTGGAGCAACAGATCGACCCAGGTTCCGTTCTTGGTTTGGATGGTAACCTGCGGCTCCAGATTGTTCTTTGTTGATGTTATAGACAATCGGGTCGTCCCAGTTAGCTATCATGCCGTACAAGCCAGTACCTAAGTAGTCCATGTGAACGACGAGCCTAGGCGGCCAAGGGTGAGATTGACAAGCTGATCAGCAGTCTGAGGGATAGTGACAGCAGGGTAATTCTTAATGCCCTTAATTTCGAGGGCAACGACGGAGGTAGAGGTGTTTCTTCCGCCGTAATCCACATAGGGCTGAGACGGAGTGTCCTGAGAACCCTTGTATTTCATTGTAGCAAACCCAGAAATGACCTGATCGCTTGGGTGTCTGGAACCCTAATAGTGTATTCCTTCAAATCCTTGTCGAGCTTGATCATCACGGCGGAGCGCTCGCCGCTGAAGATGTTCATACTCTCAGCAAGCTGAGGCTCAACGTAGTTACCATCGACCTCATAGACATACATCGGGTGCTCATCAATAGAGAACATAAGAGCCTTGATAGACGCGGCACTGATGAACTTAAGACTGACCCAGCCGGCATTAGGATCAACTTCAATGGTCTCGTGCAAACCAGTTGTAGGAGTACAGCCGGAATTTAGTCCAGCTGGAATTTTGTCTTCATAGGTCGGAGGGAAGTTGCCCTGCGTTTCGTAGACGTTGGGAAGGCATCTGATATCAAGTTAGCGATGGTACTCCTGACTCAGTGCTACATAATATCTTACCGCTTGTCAGTAAGTGGCTGATTGCCAATTGAAGACTTCAGATAAGAAAGTTCTACACTAGAGACCTTTTCGGCCCCTGCGCAATAGACTGCACCGCGCCCGTTGATGAGGACACGGTCAGAACAGCTGGAAATAGTTAACATTTTACCGTATAAGTCTGAACGATAGCTCGAGTTACGAAAGGCCCAGAAGACTTCCTTCCATTACTTTTTGGTATTCCTCGGATGTCAAGTGGTCCCAATCAGATAGCATTACAAGTTGGGATTCTTCTCCGCACTTTGCATTGCTTCAATATCCTGCGTATTGTTCGAGATAAGATGGAAGGGCTGAGGCACCTCCGGGCTAGGAGTGTAAGAGTTAGCTTTTGTGCGTCGAGCCGAATCAGAAAGCAAATATCTTACTTGATCCAAATGGGCCCGTAGAGGCCATCGGACATGTCACCCCGAGAGTGGGATGATACCAGTAAGTGCCGTACTGGGAGGCGGTCCAACGATATGTCCAGCTATGTCCTGGTTGGATAGGTCTTTGGGTAAGACCTGGCACGACCGTCAGACCATGGAGTCTTTGCTGAGACTTACGCTTCATAGCTGAAATTCGCAGGTTGAGTACAACCAGCATGGGAGGGGAGGTAATTGTAAAGGAAAAGCGCTATGGATGCGGAACCAAGATCTTGATGTACATTTAACTTCTTTGTCTTGAGCTTCTTTGAGGGTTGCCAAGGATTGACCATGTGATCATCTTGACAACTGCCAGTGTCCGAAAAAGGACTCGGAAGCTAGCTGAACACATCATCGTGACAGGCACGATTCAGGGACGAAGAGGTACAAGAGTGCCTCCCCCGGGGAAACTTGGACTTAGCAAGAATTAGTCTCTGCACAAAAAATACCATACGTTTCTCTCCCCCCCCCCCCCCCCCCCCCC